ATGAAACCATCTGGAGGATTCAGGGCTGAAGCTACGCCTTCAGGAGGGCCATGGAATAGTGTAACCTTCTTGGGCCGGGCCCAGGGCCATGGGCTGAATACAGGGTGAGAGGACTGGGTTCTGGGATCTCTCCCAGGCAGATGGTGGGGAATGGGCTTTGTGCTGCTGTCCGTGGTGCTGAACGTTCCTGTCCTGCACAGTGACCTCATTCCTTCAATAAGTGTTGCTTCTGGTCCTTCGCACCTTCCTGCTAGCATCTGCCAGCATCTTCCTGCTTGCCATTATCCAATGACCACGTTACTGCCCCTCCATCACAGTCCCACCCACTCCCCACACCCAACCTGTCTCTTGCATTCTGTCCCCCATAACTACCACCAAAACGGGTCGGTCCCTCGTGGTCCCTGTCTCCTGTGGCCTATCTCCCACGCCTTGCCAGTTAGAATAACAGAGATAGTGGTGCCAACCTAGTGGGCACTTGAAAGTGGTTTAGGGATGTTTGGGTGTGTCACAGTGACTCATGGTTACTACTGGCACTTAGCAGGTTGAGAATGCCCACAAAACAAATACTTGACCCACCTGTGAGGCCAATACTATCATTGAGAACCAATTTACATTACTTTTTCTGAGAGGGGAAACTGAGGCCAAGAGGGACGGACTTAGCCAAGGTTACTTAGCCAGCCAGAGACAAAACTGCAACTAGAATATAGGCCCCCATCTCTTCCCTGCCAGGTTTCTGGACCACTCGGGTGATTGAACCAGGAACTCTTCTTAAAATGTTGTCTGAAGGAGGAGAGCCCATTCTAATGGGAGCTTTCAGTTGGCAGGGTCTCTCTGGGGTAGAGTCCTAGCACACGCTGGGGATAGGGGTCAGGTTCCCCAGGCCGCAGAGCCCTGGAGGAGAAGACCCTGTCTGCATCATTCAGACCCTAATGCCCCTGGCAGGCCACACTGCACACCATTGGCATTGATCTTTGGCTGGGGCATCTGTGTTGCTGTAGCAACAGACACTCACCTTGCTGCATCCATCCCAGTGATTCTGGCCTAGCCGTCTGCCTTTAGACTTTCTGTGCCATCGTCCCGTGGTTCTCGGGGGAGACTCTTCCTGTCTTACTCTCTCCTGTCCCAGGCTGTGCCTGAGGGCTTGGACTCCTCATTAACCAGCTCCCCTGAAGAGCTGGGAACATCTGTCTTCCAGCCCCTGGTGCCCAGTGTCTGTAGCCAGAACCTCACTCCCAGGCTGAGCCCTCTGAGGGAAGCGCCCTTCCACTACCACGTTCCACACCCCAGACCTTGCTTCCCAAGGTTTCGGCCGACCTGAGTCAATTCGACACGGCCCACATGTGCTTGGTGGCTCACTCCTGAGAGCAATCCGATGATGACTCCAATGTGGTCTCTGCCTACTTCTCTGTCCCCAGGGAGCTCGACTTCAGTAGCAAAGAAGAGAATCCAGTCCGATGAATTGATGTGCACATGACGGCAAACGCTCTGAACGAGATTTTTGTTCGTCACACTCCGGATTGTAGCACAATAGTGGATTGTGAAGTCAACTGAGTGGGGTCACGACCAGCATTTGTATATAAAATCAATAGAATTCATCAGAATAGAATATAAAGAAAAATATGACCATGGTTAAGATAAATTTTGCTTTGGGCAGTGAATTCGGTGATGTGGGGTGGGGTGTGTCTGTGAGCCAGACTCTGGTATGAAATGGGTGTGTTGCTGTGGTTCAAGGGCAACAGAGTGTGGAGGCCTATGTTTCAAGGACTGGAAGACATAGAGGAGGTGTTTAAAAAGAAAAGAAAAAGAAGAGATTACTAAGTATCCGGGGCGTTGAGGAAGCCTCCAGAAGGAAGTGGCATTTGAGCTGGGGTTTAGAAGACAGGTAGAAGTTTGCCAGTGAGCAATGGGTGAGAGGAGGGTGTTTCAGGGCTGGACCGGCAGGGAGCCGGGCGTGTGCCCCGCCCGCTAGCGCAAATGTCAGCTGCTGTGGGGACTGCTGGACACGGGTCAGGAGGGTGAGGCCGGGCCTGCATGTCCAGGGCCTTGACTATCACACCAGGAAAGTTGGACTTGATTCTCAAGAGCAATAAAAAGCTTCTTCAGGCTTTTAAGCATAAATCAACATGCTCACTCTGACAGTCGGGGTAGAGGATAGAGAGTCAGGGGCAGGAGAAGAAGCAGGGAGGCACACAGGAGGCTGTTGTGCCGGTCAAGGCAAGATGACTAGAGAGAGGGTGGAGGGGTGGGCAGGAGGGGGTGGGCCTCAGGAAAAAAAAGAGGAGACAGCCCTGGCTGGTTTGGCTCAGTGGCTAGAGCGTCGGCCGGCAGACCACAGTCCCAGGTTCAGTTCCCACTAAGGTCACGTACCTCGGTTGCAGTTTGTCCCCAGACCCAGCTGGGGTCATGTGGGTGGCAACCAGTCGATGTGTCTCTCTCACATCGACGTTTCTCTCTCTCTCTCTTCCCCCCCTCTCCCTCCTGCTCTATCTGAAGATAAATGCAAAAATGTCCTCGGGTGAGGATAAAAAAAAAAAGAGGAGACAGAATTCACAGAACTTGGTACCCCAGCGGCATTGATATGAGGAACCAGAAAGGTCTCAGATTTGCAGCATCTCTACCCTGACCCTTTTCCATCCACAAGCCCGCCCTGTGGTCAGTACCACCTGAGATACCATACTTTGGAAATGAGCACGCTGAGGCCCTGTCCTCAGGGAACCCCACCCTGATCAGAGAGACCAGCTTCATGCACCTGAACAACCCAGGCCAGGTCTTGAGCAAGGGCTGGACGCATGAGGCTCAGGCTGTCAGAACCGGGGGTGAGAGTCTTAAAAGAGAGAAAGAGCTGTGAGATGGGAGCAATCTAGGAGGCCTTCCTGGAGGAAGGGGCCGACCACTGACCATCAAGAAAGCTGGATAACATCTATGAACACATTCCCAGAAGATACATTTTTCTCTTTGAGTCACAGTTATAATCAGGGTCTGTCTCACTCCACATGGTCCTGTTGAGAGAAACTCTAAACCCCCTCGGGAAGGGATTGTTCATTTTACAAAAGGACCCATCCTCCTAAAATACCTTGACATGGGTCTTTTTGGTTTCACCCCACACTTCGCCCTTCAGGTCAGCAACACCACTGACCCTGTGTATCAGATTCTCTTCACACACAACCTTTCTGTAGTGAAAACCCCGAGGAGGGAGAAAGCTGAGTCGGGGATCAGGCAGCATGGCCAGGGCACCGTGTCCTCACACTGGGCTGGGGTCGGCGTCAGACCAGCATCTGCCGGGTTCACTCCACCAGGGCCAGGTTCTGCCAGAGGCGGCCTCGCTGCCTGGCCCCAGAGGCAGGGAGAGGCCAGTCACAACCCTGAATTTGAAAAATCTTTGAGTTCAAAGCACCAAATTAAAAAACAATTAAGCTAATAGAATCTCCCCCATTGTCTCTGCTCTCCAGCAAGTGCTCCTTAATAGTGCCATTGCTTTCTACTCGCCAGCTCAACGGAAGTGGGTTAAGTAACTGGATTATTTCAGAACTCCGCTTCCAAAAACAATCTACGGTTCCCCTCTAGCTCTGCGACGCTGCTCGGTGTGCTCTTTATTTTAATTAGCTTTATATTGTATATCTAACATAAGCCGAAAGAAAAATCTGCAAATAACCGTCTATTAGCCAGAGAGCGGAACCCTAGTACAAATCACCCAAACAATGGATCACCTAGAATTTATAACCAAGTCAGGGAGGTAAGAGTCATACTAATCCTGCAATGCAGAGGCCAGCAAAGGACGTTGGGAGTTCTCAGGTGGGAGGGGTTTCTCCTGGTGGGAGGTTGAGGGCGGGCTACCTGGAGGAGGTGGCCTAGGAGGGAGACCTTGACAGTCGGGTTAGAATTTAAAGCAAGGTAAATGTGAGCACTCTTTGACCTTCGTACATTCCCCTTGGATAAAAACTATACTTTCGTACATCAGATGTTGAGGTCCTGAAATGTCTTTTCACACATCATATTCCAACTTTAATAGAGACTCAAACACTGAGCGACATCACAGGATGGTCCCTCTGGCAGCCACGGCTCAAGGTCAGCAGGATGATCCTGTTTCCTCAAATGTCCCTCATTCCTACTTACTCAGGAGCCTAGAGGTTAAGAACATAAAGGCTGGCCCGGCTGGTGGGGCTCAGTGGTTGAGCGTCGACCCATGCATCAAGAGGTCGCAGGTTCGATTCCCGGTCAGGGCACATGCCCAGGTTGTGGGCCTGATCCCCAGTGGGGGGCACGCAGGAGGCGGCCCATCAATGTTCTCTCTCATCCATGTTTCTGTCTGTCTGTCTGTCTCTCTCTCTCTCCCCCTACCTCTCTCTCTCTCAAATCAATAAAGAAAAAAAATTAAAAATAAAAAAGAACATAAAGACTGAAGCCAGACCTTCCGGGCCTGAATCCTCTTGTCACTTCTGTGTCTTCGGCAGGCCACTGTCTTTGTGCCTCGGTTTCCTCTGTGAAATGGGTTAATGTTAGCCCCTCCCTCACGGTGGCTGTGGAGATTGGCGGGACCGTGTGCAGAGCAGAGAGGACGTGGCGTGTGCTAACACCTGCTATGTCGACGGCAGCTATTATCAAAATGAAAGTGCTGGTACTGGTGGGAAAAGCATGGGCCCATTAAGCATAAAATGCTTGAGATAAGGATGGAAATTATTTGGCTAAAAGCAGCGAATCTTCGCCGACAACCCAGGGGCTTATAATTGGGTTCAGTTTCAAACAAAGCGAAAGGAAGTGTTCGAACTACCGGTCAAAGCATGTATCAAAACGGGTTTATTCCTGCCTTTTAGCTGCCGCGGGTGGTGAGTCTTGTGTGCGGTTTTCACACACGCGACTTTCAGATGAACTTTTAGAGGCGTGTTGTGTTTCCCCTCCTGGGGAAGCTGAGAAGTGTGGGCCTTACCGAGGGAGCCAGGGAGCCGGGGAGTGTTCTTGAGGAGGGGAGTGACCTGCTTCTTGGTGGTTGGCATCTTTTGTAGGAAATGCCTACCGAGAGTGCTTGGAGAATGGGACGTGGGCCTCGCGGATCAACTACTCACAGTGTGTGCCCATTCTGGATGACAAGGTGAGTGGCCCCACCCGCCCTGACCCGGGTTGACTCGGGTTGAGCACAGAGGACCCCCAGGGTGGCAGAACCTGTCCTGTCTCCCAACCATGCATTTGGCACCTCGTGCCCCTGCCCCATGTCCCACCCTGTGTTCAGCGACACTGTGATGAGGTAGAGAAGGGGACAGGGAGCCAGACGGGGAGAGGTCAGGCTGGTAGAGGACACAGTCAGAGCGCCACATGACACAAGAAGGGAATGACTATATAACCAGGGCCCCAACATGTCACTGGATGTGACTTCCTTCCTCCTCTGGGCCTCAGTTTCCCCACTGGCATTCTGACTCTGAGCACGCGGAAGTAAGCGCAGCCCCAGAAGGGCAGTCCCCACAGGAAGCTGCGTCCTGCTGAGCCCTCACCAGCCCCTCTCGCTGGGAAGCAGGATTCCACGCTGCCGTGGGGCCGGTCGCCTCCCCTTTAAAGCTGCGCCCCAGTTCTGACCGAAAATGATACCTCCTGTCTCCAGGCCCCTCCTCATTCACCCAGCACAGTCTCCAGGGGGCTGGAAGAAAACCATTCTCTACCCTGAGAAAGTGACGTCAAAATGGGAGCCACAGGGGGCCTGCAGCGAGGGCCAGTGGGACAAGTGATACTGGAGAGGAAGGGTCTCCTGGCCCCTGTTCCCACGTCTCCGTCTCCCAGCCCTCTGAGTGTGGTGAACCAAAGCCGTGGGGGAGGGCCTCCTGTGAGGAAGGAGAACTTGTCACTACCTCTGTTTAGAAGTGCCGGCCCGTCGTGCAATAAAAAGCAGACTGGCTTCCTTTGGGTTTTGGCATTGTTCTTAAGCTCTCTGCACACAATGCGCACACGCACACACACACACACACACACACACACATGCACACACACATACGTATGTTGCTATACCCGGGGCAGACTGATCCCAAGGCAACCCTCAGACCTCCCATCAGTCACTGCTTCCGAGGCAGGAGGGCAGGTTGGCCCAACTGTACAGATGTCAAAACTGAGGCCCAGAAACTGGAACCAACTCACCCTCAGCTGCTCAGCCAGCTGGGTCCAAGCTGAGACTAAACACAGGGTGGCAACCCTCAGTCCAGAATTAAAAAGAAAAGAAACTCTACCCCCCCTCTGGCATATCTCAGAACCCGCTCTGAGATGGCATGTCGGGGCCTGACCGCAGCCGTTTACGCCGCGAGCCGCCAGGGCCCGCAGGAGTGAGCTGCAGGTGGGAGCCAGGCCCGGTGGTGACCAGAGCCCTGCGGCCCTCAAGGTCAGGCCGCACAGGGTGGCCCCCCAGAATGCCAGCGCCGCCTTGCCTGTGCCCCATGCCCGTCTGCCCATGTGCCTGTCTGTCTGTCCGGCAGAGGAAGTACGGCCTGCACTACCACATCGCCCTCATGGTCAACTACCTGGGCCACTGCGTTTCCATGGCAGCCCTCGTGGTCGCTTTCCTGCTTTTCCTGGCCCTGCGGTAAGTCACCCCGCCCCTGATTTCTCCCCGTCCCTCCTCCCACAGCACCTGGTCACCTGTCCCCTCCGCCCCCGGGGCCTGGAGCCAGCGGGCAGGCCTGGGGGAGGCGCTCTGCAGGCGTGAGGATGCGGGGAGGCTGGCAGTGAGGACGTGGCTCCAGGTGCAGCCCGGGCCTCCAGGGCTCAGTCCTAGCTGACCCCTGACCCCAGCTGACCCCTGACCTGGGCCTTCCACAGGAGCATTCGCTGCCTTCGGAATGTGATTCACTGGAACCTGATCACCACCTTCATCCTGCGCAACGTCACGTGGCTCCTGCTGCAGCTTGTGGACCACGAAGTGCACGCAAGCAACGAGGTCGCTGGGCAGAGCCGGGGCTGGGCTGGGGCTCGGCGCGGGGGCACCCCTTTGGCTCCAGGCCAGTCTCTGGCCCTCCAGAGCTGGGGGAGGAGGGGAGCTGCCAGGCTGGGGTCCAGGGAGCAGCCCACACCGGGCAGCAGACTGATTTATCCTGTCCCGCTCACCACCTTGTGAGTTCAGCCCTTCCACAGACCCTTAGAGACAAGGAGGCTGGAATAAACACTCTGTCTCACTTCAGCCCAGTGACAGGCCCGCAGGGACCACGATACAGACGTGGGAACAGGCTCGGAGCAGCTCGGTGACAGTGGTGACACCTCTCCCTCTGGGCTCAGGGTCGTGGGCAGGCTGTCCGCGTGTTAGCTACCTGCCCGGATGTGTGTCAATGCTCTGAACTGTGTGCCCGTCACTGGGAAACCGGGGTAGAGGGGCCACGCGCAGGTCTTGGGCCACCATTACCTTCTCAATGCGTTTTGTTTGGGCGGCTGGACCTTGGCACACGCCCAGCCTGGGGTGCCCTCAGCTTGGCCCCACACTGAGCCCTGCTTCAGCACCAAGCTCAGTCCAGCTTTGGGGTGTCCTGCAGCCCAGCAAAGGCTGCTACTGAGAAGTGGTCACTTAATGTGGGGATAGAGCAGGGGAGGGGGAGGGACCTTGAGCTTTCCGCTTCAGCAGGACTTTCTCAGAACAGAGGAGACACGCAGCCACACGGGGCCCGAGATCAGGGCTGGGGTCATGGAGGAAGCCAAAGAGACAGTGAGCAGCTCAGTCCACGGAGCAGAGAGCCCCCATCACAGGGCTTCTGTGGCCACCACTTCCACATCCCCACCCCCACGCTGAGGGTTCCCCTGCAGGGCAAGGTGGCCAGGCAGGTCTGCTGGGAAGAGCTGTGTGGGGGCCAGGACCCAGCCACGGCTCACCATGGCCCTGCCAGCACCCCTGCCTCCCCTCTGTGAGGGGTGCTTGGGGCGGGGGAGTAGCCCTGTTCAGGGGGACAGCGACAGATTCTCCTCTGCTGGGGATGCACAGAGCAGCAACCAACATTCATTCATTCTCCCAAACCCCGAGACCAGACACCTCCACTCTGCCGCCCACCTTCACAGATCCTGCACTATGACGTATAGAACAGTTTTCTTTTAATTGAATCACTTTATACGAAACCACATTCCTACACAGAATCTCATCCCTCAATGGGAAGCAGCATGACTTGTGGACTAAAGGTGACCCTCCCCCAAAGATGAGCACGCAAACACGTTACCCGTTCCAGCCTGTGCGTGCAGGAAGCGTGGGGCCAGAGTCCTCTTCTCGGTTGAAAGGGGGCCTGAGGGAGCCTTGGAGAAAAGTCACAGACACACGAGTACCCGTGGAGACTTAACTCAGTCCAACACAGGGAGAGAGGAATGACGCAGGGTGCGCATCCAGTATGAGACTGAGGGTACTTAATGCCATGCCCACGACCCACTGAACTGACCGGCCCTCCGTCGGCGCCCTGGCCCCACACTCGGGCCCTGGCCCTGGCGGCCCTGACCGCCTCTGCCCCGTGCAGGTCTGGTGCCGCTGCATCACCACTGTCTTCAACTACTTCGTGGTGACAAACTTCTTCTGGATGTTCGTGGAGGGCTGCTACCTGCACACGGCCATCGTCATGACCTACTCCACCGAGCGCCTGCGGAAGTGGCTCTTCCTCTTCATCGGCTGGGGTGAGGGTCCCAGGGCGGCGGCAGGGCAAGCGGGGGCGGGGGACTGCCGACAGGGTCCGAGGACTGAACCACAGCCCTGCCCAGCACCCCGGGACAGTCTACAACGCAACCAGGAGGGAGCAAACGGTCCCTCGGAAAGAACCCTCCACAAAGGGGCTCGTCTCCCTGCCTGGAATGGCAGCTACAAAGGCTTTTGCCTCTGGCTCTGGGAGAGAATCCGCCAGCCACACTCCTCTGCCAGAAAATCACACGGTCCCCTCGCCTCTCACCTGCTGAGGGTGGGGGAGCGCTGGGGGCTGGGGTCTAGGGACAGGGCCTCTGGGGTCATGGGTGGTCTGCAGGGGATGACGGGAAACATGATCCCAGGCCCGTATGGTCCCCTCACCCTGCGTTCTGTAAGGGCCCCTGTCCATCGGCCTGTCCACTACAACCACGTCTGTCCTCTCTTCAGGCATCCCCTGCCCCATCATCGTCGCCTGGGCCCTTGGCAAGCTCTACTATGAGAACGAGCAGTAAGTAGGACAAGCCACGCGGGGGAGAGGGATATTAGGACAGGGCCGCCGTGGCCTTCAGCCAAGCTGTGGGGCGGGAATGGCAGCCGCACAGGACGGGTTGCCTGTCCTCACGTTAGAGAGCCATGCCGGCACCCGAGGAAGGCATGTCGGCGATGTCAAGTCACCTTTGTTGAACCGAGTTAGGTTTCTGTTTCCTTCAAGCGCCCGAATGCACGACCTCTTTGGCCTTTGGGAGGCGTCCTCCTCGAAACTGGAGCACGTGGAGGAGCCAGGGCCCCTGGCTTTCAGCCCAGGGCACGTCCGAGCCCGGGACAGTGAGCCTTTCCCGACCCCGGGGCCAGGCTCCTGTCCTTGGACCTTACCTGCAGCAGAGTCCTTGCTGTTCTAAGCCACAGCCCAGGTGATGGCACCCTGGCCCTGGGCCAGCCGGGACGGCTAGGAAGTCGGTGCCACCAGCTGAGAGGACAGTGCAGTGTCAGCCTCTGTATGCAAATCTCCAACGGGTCTCTGAGGCCGGAGAGAGCAGAGGGGATTTGGGCGAGGGCAGGAATGGGGTGCAATCCAGGAACTCAACATTAGGAAGCACTCAGATGATAAAAGTCGTCCAAGAAGAAGGGGCAGCTTTTATCATGATGCAGAATGAGAGTGACCTTCCTGTTAAAGGGGGTGTTCAAGCAGAGACCCGAAACCCGGGTGCTGCGAGGCAGCGGGGAGATTTCTATCTGAGGTACTGGATGACCTCTGAGGGTCTCGGGGACAGTCACAGGGCCTTCCTGAGGTCCAGGAGGAGTTGCTGGCAGAGCCAGACTGGGTCCTGGCTCAGCCCTTCCCCTAGACCCAGACCCTGAAGCGTCACCCACCATTCTCCCTGAGAACAACGGAGCCTCTGGCAGGAGCGGGCTCCTCCGCTGGGTGAAGGAGGCTCAGCCAGGAGGAAGGCAGGGGTGGGCTAGGAGCGGGCTCCAAGCAATGCACCAACAAGAGGCACAGGGTGGCCCAGCCGGGGCCAGTGGGGGGCAGCCCAGTTCTCCATCGTGAGCCCTGGGCCCAGCAGCCAAGAACAGGTGAGGGAGTGAGGAGGAGGAGGAGGAGGAGGAGGAGGAGAAGGAGAAGGAGGACGACGAGACCCAGGCTGCCCTCAGACTGCTGGGGAGACCACACCCTCCATGCAGGACAAAGGCAGCTGGGGTGAGCAGCGTGGTCAGCGGGGCTGGGCCCATCCACCCAGGCCTCTAGGACAGGGCTCAGGAAGGGTCAAGCGGGAGGATCCTGGGCCTGAGTCCGAAGCAGTCCCCCAGCTGTGACTCACCAGGCCGCTGACAGCCCCCTACCTTTGCAGGTGCTGGTTTGGGAAGGAGCCCGGTGACCTAGTGGACTACATCTACCAGGGCCCCATCATCCTTGTGCTCCTGGTAGGTGGACACTGGGATGGGACTGGGGACAGAGGAGCAGCTGAGGACCCCCCAGCAGAGACACTAGGGAGAGATGTGGCATGGAGAGCCCCCTGCGCCCACACATGCTGTCCACGCCACCCCGCTCCCTGACACCTCCCTTCGGAGCTCTCTCTCCCCTCACTTCCTGCGCACGCAGCCCCCTCCCCTCTCCGGCACTGGGTCCTTTCCCTGGCAGAGAATAGGTCTGACTGGCCAGTTTCTAGTGCCTTCCCTCATCTGACGTCCCCTTGCCAGGTTCAGTGCCGAGACCGCAGGCAAGGGGCAGCTGGTGGCAGGAGAAGGGTGTACAGGCTGGTGTTGAGCCTGATTTGCATCTCCCTCCTGCCCCAGCCAACCCCCCCCCCCCCAGCTGGAGCCCTGGTATCAGAATGAAGCGTAGGAACAACCGTTCCTGGTTCCGCTCCCTGCCCCTTGCCAAACGTTTTTAAATCTAAGGTGTAATTGCTGTTCGTCTATCTACAATGAGCTTTCATTGAGATAGAGTTTAAGTAGAGGCTGCATTCTGCAAAAACGAGCCCATTATATATCGTACAGAAGAAAGAGACACACAAAAAGGCCCCATAAGAAACTGGCATTTACGTAAGACTTATTTCAGGCTCGGCAATTGCAGGCTCCTGTAGTACCAGCTCCCTTAAAGGGCCACAGCTCCTGGGAGCCCAGAGCCGCATCCGCCTCTGGCCCATAGCAGGTGCTCACAAAGGCATCCCTGGTCTGCCTTGGGGGTGATCACTGTTTATCTCTTTCATTTCCTCTCATTTCTGTGACTTTTCCTGGGATTCATTTGACCCCCACCTTTGCAGCCTCCCTGATGCATTTGAGCTGGAGATGACTCGGTTTTTACCCCCTGCCTGAAATCGCAGCATCAGGGCTCTGTTATTTCAGAGGCAAGGCCGGTCCCTGTCAGCTCAGTGGGTGGGGGGGCACTGTCCTTGGAGTCCCAGCTGCAATGAGTCACTCACCCCCAGTGTGAATGGAAACCCCATGCGACCCATCCCCTCCCGGCCGGCCAGCCGCTGAGAGCCCACCCTGGAGGCCAGGGCTTTTGACCAGCCTGGGACCCAGCCAAAGAAGGCTGGCCTGGAGCGAACCCAGGTGGGGAGCTCACCCCCGCTGCGAGCATGGGGACAGCGGAGAGGAAATGAATGGAGACAGGGAGACAGGAGTGGAGGGCTCCACTCAAGGCCCAACTCCCGCCTCCTCTCCGTGCCCCTTTCCCACCCTCCCCTCCAGGGCATTTTGCTTGTCTTTCCCTTTGGGCCCAGCCCACACCCAGCTCTTTGCATCGCGAGGGCTTCCAGGGTCCCAGGTTTGCCTTCTAGAAGCTCTGTCTTCATTAAGTGCAAACCTCATGTTCCCCAATGGGAGAAGGAGGGCGCATGCCTCCCATGTCACAGACGAAAACACAGAGATGGGACGACCTGCCCAAGGTCACCACTAACTGCCAGCTGAGCTGAGACTCTGCAGGTCACCCACCACCTGCCTACCTCCCTCTCTGTGGACGCCTGCCGTGCCCCTGCCCGCCCCCTCCCCGCAGTGCACAGCTGCACTTCTGCTGGGAGAGACACGCTTACTTCCGGGTGCTGGGGGTGAGTCAGCTGGTTCGGTTTGCAGGAGGCTGTTGTCATGGGAAAGGCATGTGGCATTTATGGGGCCCCTCTCGGGGCACTGGGCTCTGTGGTTATCTGGGTTGGACAGGTGAGGAAGCTCAGAGAGGCTAATTAAGCCACTTGCCCAAGGCCACACGGATGCCAATTGGAACAACCAGAATCAGAGCCCTGTGTGGAGGACTTGGTGCCAGACATTCATTTGGGAGGTGGCACCTGGTACTTGGAAGCACAGCAGGGGGTGGGAGGGGAAGACAAAGAAAGGAGGAAACCAACAAACCCCACCCCCACCCCACCCTGACCCAGTATCCGGGATGCAAGGCTGGACTCCTCAGGGAAGCTTGTCTGGGGGGGTTAGCCTCACCCTTGTACCCCCTTCCCCTGCAGAGCCCCCCCCCCCTCAGAGGTTCCTGAGCTGGGAAGGCCCTGCAGGAAGGAATCCTGCATTTTGGGTTCTCAGCTATTCCTACCTCCCTCCTGGACCTGTGTCCGACTCCTGCCTCACCTCAGCCACACTGGCCACCCCCGTCCCTCTCCCTACCCCAGGGCTTCCCCCCCCCCCCCCCCCGGCCTTTTCTCTGCCTGGAACACTCTCCCCCACCTTCCCAGCTCACATGCCATTTCTCCAGGGCTTCCTGACCCCTTAGGGAGAATGCACCCTCCACCCCAGACCGCAAGCCAAGTCCACTTCCTATTGCTGGTGCCCAGCTCAGAGTCTGGCACATGGCACTCACTGAATGAGTGAATGAATGAATGAATGAATGAAACCAGAAACCAGGCTGGACAAGGTTCGAGAGCAGTAGCCAGTGCTCACTGGAGAGCTAGGATTCAGTAAGGGAAGAGTGGGGTTCAAGCTCCATGAGGGTGGGGGTGGGTGGGGGTGCCAGAGGCTCCCTGCAGGAGGAGGAAGGTGCCTGAGGTGGGGCGAAGTGGTGGGGTGTTGTGAAGGGGAGGCTGGGAACTGAGCTCACGACACACTGGCTTTCCGGCTGCACAGACCCAAGCTGAGGGGCTGGGGCAGCAGCACGAACTGCCCTGCCTCGTGGGAGAAGAGGGGGTACGGCCTTGACTTCCCAGCCCCCCCACTAGACCCTGTCCCTGTAGCCAGAAGGTGCTCAGCAACTGCTTATTGATTGGATGAATGGGTGGGTGATTGGACATGTGTATGATGCCCATCAAATGCATGGGTGGATGGGCAGGTAAACTGACGCATGCTCGCTGCGTAGACACCGGTTAGATCGTGGGTGGGTGGGTGGGTGGGTGGATAAGAGTGGGTGGGTCATTGAATGAGTTGGTTTGTGGGTTGATAGATGAGGGGTAAATAAGATTCAATGAAGGGAACTGGGGCAGAAATGAGAATATACCTTGACTCCAACAGCTTCTACTCTGAGAGAAGTCAGAATCCGAGAAGGGAAAATAGTTTGTCTCACGTGTGTGAGGAAACCGGGACTGCCTCATAGTCAAAGGGAATATTCCAGAAACCCGGGAGCTAGCCGCTCGGTGGGCCTTGAGAGGCCCCGGGGCCCTGCAGGCCGTGGGCGGCCCTGGCTGAAGGCTCCGGGCCCACCCTAGGTCCTGGGCTCACCAGGCCGCCGCTGTGAGCCTGAGCCCCGCAGGCCCCCCGGACACCTCAAAGTGGGGGTCATCCAGAGACCCCAGGAATGTCTGCCCCATGATGTCCGCCTGTGTCCCCCACTCCCAGCTGGGATCCAGAACTTAGGGGGTGTAAGGAGTGATGGATTCTGTGTGTGTGTGTGTGTGTGTGTGCGCGCGCGCGCGCGTGTGTCGGGAGGGACGGCTGGTGTGTCAGGCCCACACACACTCACTTTCTCGTCTGCTCACACTTGGTGACAATGGAAGAGAAACAGCAGCCACACCGTGTCCCCAGACACACGCACACTCACACACTCTCCGAGGCAAACACCCTCACAAGCACAAGGAGACCCGCAGACTCACAGACTCGCCAACAAGGTTCACAGCCACTGGCAGCCCACGGGGCCCAGGAGCCCAGGCAGGGACCCCGGGGCTCAGCGCCCTCCCTGCCGCCCAGACAGGCTCAGAACGAAGACACACGAGGCCCTCCGGAAGCCTCCCAGTCAGCCCCGCAGCCCGTCCATCTTCATTGGCTCGGGCTGCCTGAGGTTCTGGAGTGTCACTGGCACAGGGCACGATGGCGAGAGGGTAGTCAGTCCTCTGTCCGGCCAGGTCTGCTCCACCAGGGCAGGGCTGTCCTCAGTAGTAAGGGCCTGGGGAGACCCTGGATTGTGAGTGGGGTCCCTGCAGCAGAGAGGAGCAGGGCCCTGGGGGCGGGGTGGGGGGCGGGGCTGGAGGAGTGGCCTCTGTGCCCTCAGCTGCCTCTGGGGGCTTTCCCTCCCTGGGCCTGAGCAGGCCCGGAGCCCTGGGTGACAGGCAGCTGAGCAAGCAGAGGGCACCTGCCTGTCCCGACAAGAGAGGAGCAGAGGCCTTGGGACCCCAGGCAGGTGCTGGGGTGATGAGTGTGCCGTGTGAGCACATGGAACGGGGGCTCTCAGGGGGTCACAGGGGCAGGTGGCTGGCGCTCAGCTCGCGTCACCTCATGGCCCTCCTTCCCCCCTCTGCTCCCTCCCTCCAGATCAATTTTGTGTTTCTGTTCAACATTGTCAGGATCCTAATGACAAAATTACGGGCATCCACCACCTCAGAGACAATCCAGTACAGGTGAGTGCGGGGTGCCGTGGCCCCCCGCAGGGAGAAGTGAGGCCGTCTGGTCCTCCGTGTCCCCCCAGGGGACCGTCACCGCGGGAGCGAGGCCCCGCCTCAGTGCCACCCTCTCCCCCGTACAGGAAGGCGGTGAAGGCCACCCTGGTTCTCCTGCCCCTTCTGGGCATCACCTACATGCTCTTCTTCGTCAACCCTGGGGAGGACGACCTGTCGCAGATTGTGTTCATCTACTTCAACTCCTTCCTGCAGTCATTCCAGGTGGGGCAGCGGCCAGACGGGGCTGCAGGGGGCTTCCCCGCCCTGGACGCTCAGGTGCCCTCCCGGGCCGCACGGGGCTGGTGCACGCGAGGTTCACTTGTTACACGTTCAAGTGCACACGCTGAACCAGAGCCCGGCCCGGCCCCACCCCCCAGAGCCCGGGTGGGCCCACCCCACTGGGTCTGGGCCACCCAGCTGGTGCCCACTGCTGGCCCAGCACCTGCCCCCAGGGTTCATGGAGCCTGTCACACTTGCAGCATGAGGAGTGGGCCCTCCGGGGTCCCGGTCAGTGTTCCCCTGCCACCCTGTCCCCCTCCGCCCTTCCAGGCAGAGCGATCCCCATGCAGACCCCTGACCACTGCCTCCTTCCTTTCCAGGGCTTCTTTGTGTCTGTCCTCTACTGCTTCTTAAATGGAGAGGTACGAGGCCGGGCCCCGGGTGGCCGGGCTCCGCGGGCCTCACCCCCACTCCAGGGCCGTTCCAGCAGAGCCGCCCAGCCTCCCGGGACGGTCGGGTCCCTGGCTCCGCTCAGTTGCACTGGAGGGGCGGGAGGGTAGGGCAACACCCAGCCTTGGGGGGACCTGCCAGTGTAGACGGTCAAGCATGCCGGCCAGGACAATGGCCAGCACCCACCACTGCCCCGAGAGAGCTGGCTGAGCAGGGCGCCCGGGCTGCAGAAAGGAGCGGAAGGCGATGACGGGAGAAAGCTCCCAGGAGCACGAGGTGTGAGCCCTGCAGCCAGGGAGCAGGGGAGACCCCAGCACGTTCTCACGCTCCTCGAGGTGGGCTCGGGGAGGCAGGCGCCGGGTGAAGCCAGTCAGCTCACAGGGCCCAGCATCCTAGCAGCCAGCTCAGTCAGGCCCAGGGGTGAGGGCGCCCAGGGCTGAGGGCACACAGCGGGCTCCGGGTTTCGGGGCGAAGGCAGACACAGGACCCAGGGCCTGAGAGCTTCCAAACACTCACGAGGAAGCCAGCGTGCCCTGCGGCCACTCCCCTTGCCATGCACAGGGCGATGGCCGGGCTCCGCAGGCCTGGGTGTCTGTCACCTAAAGCAGTGTCCAGGTGGGCAGGTCCAGCAGTGGAGACTAGGACGGGGCCGAGGGCAGGGCGAGAAGGAGCCACTGGGGCCATGACTGCTCGGGACCGTCCCCTCTGTTCAGCCCCGTGACGGGCTCGCACACGGGGACACGGTCGCTTTGGCAGAGTCCTTCAGGTGCAATACAGATGAGGGTCAAATGGCACCAGTGACGATCACTTCGACGTGAGGCACAGGAAGGCAGGGTGTCTGCAGAAGGCTGGGGGTCACGGAGCGTCCTCAGGAGAGGGCTGGGGAAGGAGGGCCCCCCCCCCCAGTGCCGGAGACAGACAGCGGTGTGAGCTGCAGGGCCAACAGCGTCAGGGGAAGGGCCCGCCTGTGGAAGCAGCCAGTCCCCGAGTGTGGGGGTGGCAGTCAGGAGGGCCAGCCTGGCCTCGCTCAGTAGTGCTGAACGGGGCAGGGAGCGGGGGAGGGGCTGTCGGTCCTCAGGACGGCCCCCAGGGCTCAGCCGTCTGTGTCCTGCCCGCAGGTGTGCTCAGCCGTGAGGAAGAGGTGGCACCGGTGGCGGGACCATCACTCCCTCCGCGTCCCCGGGGCCCGGGCCATGTCCATCCCCACCTCACCCACACGGATCAGCTTCCACAGCATCAAGCAGACGGCCACTGTATGACCCCGCACGTCACCCACCTGGCCCCTCACGCCACAGCGGGGGCGGCTTCCCCATCCTCCTCCTCCGCCCTCTCCGGGCCCTCCTTGCCGGAGCCCTGGTGGGGTCACAGGGAGGGGACGCCCACTCTCCAGCCTGGGCAGCACAGGGCTCTGAGGGACCAGGGCAGCTGAGCCAGAGCAGAGCGGAAAAGTCACAGGGAGCCCCCGGAAGGGAGGGACACGTGTCTTCAGGCATCTGTGCCCACCGGTGCTGGACGGGCAGGGAGCCCGCATCAGCCCCTCAGGCCAGCCCGTTCAGACTAGGAAACAGGCCAGAGCCAGGGCCTGCCCAGGTCCCACAGCCAGTTCGAGGATCCCTGGCCCCTCTGCCCCACGCGTGTGTGGGCCTTCCTGCCAGCTGCAGGGTGATGTGTGGCCCTGCTCGCCACCTGCAGCCTCCCCACTCAGGGGCGCCCTCTGCAGTCGGGAGGAGGCACAGCAGCTGGAGTAAAGGATACGTTTGGAGGGCTTCACCCCAGGGCCTCTCACCTGGAGAAGCCTGGTCTACACCGTCTGCACCCCGATCTGGCCGTGCCCCTGCCCCTGCGCCTTCCTGAAGAACGCTGACTCCTCTCTGGGAGCCCTCAGCCTAGTCCACAGACTTAAGGGCTTGGGGAGGGACAAGCGGGGAGGGAGACATGGCCAGGACAGCCACACTTAGGCCAATCGGATACATCGTGCAGGACAAAACGGGGAGAAACATGGGCACGGGCTGGGACAAGGCGTGGGCTAGAAACACAGAAACAAAAGTGTGCCTTTCGTGACTGGAGCTCATTCCCCGGCCCCCACCCGCGCCTAGACCCCAGCCGCACCTTCGGAAGCAACGGCTGCTCCCCGTGGAATAAACCACGCCCCGTGGAAACAGCCCTGCAGAGGTGATGGGCCAGGCACCCGAAGGGGTGCTGTGGGCCAAGGACGGTGGGCTGGATCCATCTGGACTCCGGCGCTGGCCTGGGGCCAGTGCTCTCTGACCTGTGTGCCCGCAGGTCTGACCCTTATCATTCCCCAAGACGACACCTGCCCCTCCTCCCCAACCAAGGGCGGTTGAATTCAGCACAGAGGAGAGGTTCTGGAATCTGGAGGGACAGATGGACAAGGCCCATGCCCGGGCAGTTTCCGCCCGCCTGTGGTCCTGCTGCCCTGCAGGAGGGCTGGGAGCCCAGGGGCAGGAGGAGCCATGGGGTCAGCGTTCAGAAGAGCTTTTGCTCTTGGCACACCTCCCCTCACCCCCAGTTTTTAAAAGTATGTATATTGTCTGGCACACTTTTAAGTTGACATCTAATATTTTTTACCTACGTTTTAAAACTTGCGAGAGATGTGATTTCTGGCATTTGGTAAATATTTGCGTGTTAAAATAAAACTGCCAACAGTACTTTAAAAACTGAGTCTCTGAACACAGCAGTGATTGAATGCCTACCCTTATCTATTAAAAAAAAACAAAACAAAACAACGGCCCCTCTTTGATGGTGGGAAATTTTACACGGTTCCTTCTCTCTCTGAACTTGTCCCTCGTTCTGTCTCCCCTGTGGAACTTCATACAGATGCCGGATTTTTTATGGTTGCGAATCTTTTACCGCTCACCTCACCGTGTTCCTCTGCCAGACATATACTTAGAAATTAAAATAGAAATGTTTAATTTCCCAAGACAGGTGCTAAGGGTTTTTTTTTAAGTCTTCTAAATGGAGTTATTACAACTATTTTTTTTATATAAAGTATATTATTATATGGTTGAGGAAAACAACATGATTGCTATGAGTTCTTAGAAGTCACTGTTAAACCTAAAAAGAAAAATTCATTGAAAACACCTCTTAGCCCTGGCTGGTTTGGCTCAGCGGTTAGAGCATCAGTCTATGGACCAAAGGGTCCAGGTTCAATCCCCAGCCCTGGTCAGGGTTGTGCAGGAGGCAACCAATCGACGTGCTTCTCTCGCATTGATGTTTTTCTCCTTCTCTCTTCCCCCGTCCCTACTACCTTAAAAAAAAAAGAAGAAAACATTTTTTTAAACTTTTTTTTCTTTATTGATTTTAGAGAGAGAGGAAAACATCGATGAGAGAGAACATCGATTGGCCGCCTCCTGCACGCCCCCCACTGGGGATCAGGCCCGAACCGGGGCATGTGTCCTGACTGGGAATCGAACCTGTGACCTCTTGGTGCAGGGGTCGACGCCCAACCACGGAGCCACACCGCCCGGTGAAAGAAAACACATCTTAGTGCAGTGGGTAGGAACTCAAGTCTTCCTGAGTCTATGGGAGGATATTTATCACAAGAAGGAAGCGGCTCCGGCGGCTTTTCCTCTCTTCATTCTGCAGAGCTACAAGCTGAGACGCCTTCGCACATAAATAAGTAGATGCCACTCGGTTCTCTGAACTGAGGTCGAGGCCAACAGCTGCCTAGTGACCCGGGTCACAAATGACCATCGCCGGCCATCGACGAAGTCCTCCTTAAATGTGGTTGAAAACACAAATTGAGAATTGTCAGACTTTCCAAGGGCTTTGCCGCCCTGGCAGGGACTCGTTTAATTTCTCACCACGGACACCTCGCTGCCAGCGGGCGCTTGGCTGGGCCGGAGAGGGGTGTGCAGGGGAGGGCACCCCAGCGCACTGTCCTCTGGTGGGGCGCCCTGACTTTGTGCCTTCCCGAGAGACAAGGCGTGCAGGTCCCGAAGGTCTCACTGCACCCAGAGACAGAAGTGGCCTGAGGGCTGCTGTCTTTAGTATGGGGGGGGGGGCTCCTGTAGGGCGAGGAGCCATCAGTGCCCGACCCCCAGAGGCCACCGGAGAGGGGAGAGTGTGGGGCCAGAGCAGACCCAGGGCTCATCAGAGAAGCCAGGGCAGGACGCAGGCCTGCAGGGAGCTCAGCGCCAAGTCCCGGGAGGCCTGCCCTGAGGGCGTGAAGCCTGGAATCCACCCCCTTTGGAGGAGGCCCCTGGTCATGGCCCCCCGCTGAGCTCCGGCCTTGAAATGCCACCAGGGCCTCCATGTGGACAGCCCCGGGCTGAGCTGGCCCTTGCTGGGAAGTGTCCGCTCTAGCAGGCCCCCTCCGAGGCTGGGCATCCAGACTCCTGGGCTCCTAGGCTCCTGCTTAACCCTTTCACCCCCACCTCTGCCATTGATAAAGCTGGGGGAGGCTCCAGTTCAGAAGGGTATTCCCCACCCCAGCCGCTGGCCCCACTCCCACTGAGACCCCAGACAGAGCCCTGACCCCGGCATCACTCAAAGAGGGGCCATAAGGAGCCGGCTGGGGTAGGAGCCAGGAAATGACAAACACGCCAGCAGACAATGTCATCCGTGGGGTGAAGGGTCTGTGGTGGTGTCTCCTGAGGGCTGAAGCCACAAGCCCCCTGGTCTCCTGTGCAGGGGACAGGCCAGCACCAGCAGCAGAAACAAGATGGCCTTAAGGCGATGATGGGGTCATCTTACCCCAGGGGCCCAAGAGACAGGATGAGCCTCCACCAGGTCCTGGGGCGGGGTGGCCAGCTCACCTAGGTGTATGACTGTCACCTGGTGTGATGACGAGCACCCGCTCCCTCTCACCAGGGCCCCAGTTTGAGCCATCAAGCATGTCCCCTACTTAAACCACGTCTGTCGGCCGCACACCAGGGGCCACAGACGCTGCTTGAACAGATGCCCGGTGGGAGCCAGATGGGCAGAGCTTCCATGTTAGTACTTCGGACAAAGAACCCAGAAGGGCCCTCCGAGGCCAGGCCCGCGCCCCGCCCTCGTGACTGCTGGTTGGACAAATGAGTGAGCAGGGTGGGTGGGGAGGAGCGATTTTCGCTTCGAGAGGAAATTGTCCCTCAGCCTCTGCTGTGAATACAGCCAAGTAATTAATTGTGCTCCTTAATTAGTTCTGCAGGGCACCTAGCAAGGTCCCCTCGGCTCACTAGGGCCCAGCCCTGATCAACACTCCAGCATCCGAATCCCCATGGAGGCCCCCCACCCAAGAAAGTGGAGAAATCCAGCCAGGTCACTCTTCCTGCCTCGTCCAGCCTGGTGTCCCCGTTCTCTGGGGAGGGCGGGTGCTGGGCCCTGAGCAAGCCTGCCGCTGCCTCCTTCCGTCTCCTTCGACCCACATGCCTTGTCCTTCTGGGGCTTGTCTGAGTGTGCACTGCGGAGTCTGTGGCTGGAGTCCCCAGGCAAAGGCGCCCCAGCCACTCTCCTAGGCCCTCCTTCCTCGGCTCGGAGCAGAGCCGGGCAGCCCTCCCTCCCTCAGCACCGCAGACTTGACTGTGCAGGTCTCCGCAGCTGAAGGGACCAGGAGGGAGAGGCCCCTCCTGGGAAATAATGGATTCTTTTCCGTAGAAAAAGATAAATGTATAAAATGTAAAAATACGGCGTATTAAAGAGCGCAAGAAATTTCTCCAGAAATCCTCAAAGGACCCACAGACCAGTTTAAGAGCCCCTGCCCTCGGGATAGAATTAAACTGTTCTAATTTAGCTAATAAGTCTTCCCTAATCCGTGGTGCTCAAACCTGCCTGAGCATGGAAGCACCAGGGCACCCTCAGCCTCCTGGTTTCTGAGCCCCCTCCAGGCTCCTGAAACAAGGCCAGGAGGTGCGCTCGCACTCTGACCGGCTCCAGGAGTGGGCGGCACACAGGAGGGCGCTGGGCGCCGCTGGCACCAAAGGCCCTTGGCCTGCTGCTTGCTGTGACCCCCAGGGCCCACCACGCCCTGCAGGGGGCACTGCACCTTTCCAGCTGGGCCGAGCTCTCCTCGGTGGCCACGCCCCCACTGGACCTAAGGCTGGGTCTGCGAATGGCTGGAAGGCAGGGCCTTTTCTGTCCCAGCCCAGGGAATATCAGGGGTCCGAGACAGATGTCACTTGAACAAAGGATTCCGAAAATATGGACTGAAGACCACCGACGCACACAATCTTAGTCCCTGGGACTCATCTCTTGGTGCCTGGGGGTAGGGAGTTGTTTTCTTAGTGGGGGCCTTCTCCAGGAGCACCCCGGAATGAAATAAGACCGGTCACAAGTTGGCGCACACAGTAGGTCCAGAAGTGTCAGGCAGCCCGATTCCGCACACTGGTGAAGATGGGGTGCACGGCCTGGAGGGGCAGTGCAGGCAGAGGGGTCGGGACCAGCACCAAGGGGTGCCGCTCCCCGAGAGGACAGCTCGTCGGACTGGACTCGCTCGCCCGCTGGCTTCGGAATTACTTTCGGAAAAATGGAAGGTCAAAGCCTGTCAGTGTTTTTGTTGTTTTTCCCTCTTTCCCACAATCTCATTTTGCTTAATCTCACTATCAATTAACTCGCGCTCAGAGGTAGAACAGTGGGGTTTTTTTGGTTTTTGTTTTTTATCCTCACTCAAGGACATTTTGCATTAATCTTCAGATAGAGCGAGAGGGAGGGAGGGACAAAGAGAGAGAGACACACTCCGAGTGGCTGCCACCCACACGACCCCACCGGGGCCGAGGACAAACTGCAGCCAAGGTACGTGCCCTCAGTGGGAACCGAACCCGGGACTCTCTGGTCCGGGCCGACGCTCCAACTGCTGAGCCAAACTGGCCAGGACAGAACAGTGGGTTTTGATGAGCCAAAAAAGGCTTTAATTAGAGTAAGTGGTTTTAGTTAGCATAACTGCTGTTGCACTGATTGTTGGTGATTGAGTTTTAAGATCTAACGAAGGCAGACACTGGCTGGAAAAATTCTATGCGAGTCACTTCTGCACCAAGTCCTGAACCCACAGCGGAAGGCAGAGAGCTTGGCTCCCTCCAGCCTCAAGCCCACGAAACTTCCATTAGTTCAGACTCAGGCTGTGGCCTGGGACCCAGGCACGGAGGTTTAGCGTGGGCCTATCACAGCTGTTTCCAGAGGACCCGGGCCTAGAACCCACTTGATTTCCAGCACAGGGCTCCCCGAAGCCCATCCAACAGGATCAGGGCTGGGTCAGATCACTCGGAAACTAAAATCCCACTGCTCACTCCCCCCCTCACACCTGCTTGTCTAACCGTCTCACCAAACACAAGGTTCGTACAAATTCATCTTGAAGCCCTTTCGGGAGATGCAAGAAAGTGCGCAGTGGCGCCAGGTGGGAAACGCTGGGGGGAAGACGACCTCCTCTGAGGGCTCCCCCACAGCCCACGCTGAGGACACTGTCCCACCCACGGTGCATGCAGTGGCCAGGCCCCCAGAGGGATGGCTAGTGCACATCTAGGGATTCAAACGGACCCCTTTCTCTCTGAAACTACACGACCCTGGGCGATGCCTCTCCATCCAGTGCCCAGGGCTGTGCCTCTGCAACGTCCTCTGGCCAGTGTCCAGTAGCCTTGGATGTGAACACACACACAGCCCCGCCGGCGTGGCTCAGTGGACTGAGCGTTGTCCCAGGGACTGAGAGGTCGGGTTCAATTCCTGGTCAGGGCACATGCCCAGGTTGCAGGTTTGACCCGGGCCGACGCACCGCTGGCCCCGTGCAGGCGCACCGCTGACCCCGTGCCTACGGCGCACCCTGACCCCCTGCCGACGCACCGCTGACCCTGTGCCTACGCACCGCTGGCCCCGTGCCTACAGCGCACCCTGACCCCCTGCCGACGCACCGCTGACCTGCCCGGAGAACCTGAACCGGCTTCAGGAGTGACGCTGGCTTTTTTTTTTTTTTTATCATCCTCACCCGAGGACATTTTTCCATTTTTTGTTCAGATAGAGCGGGAGGGAGAGAGAGGAAGAGAGAGAGAGAGAAACATCGATGTGAAAGCGCCACCCGCACAACCAACCAGGGCCGGGGACAAACTGCAACCGAGGTACATGCCCTTAGCGGGAACCGAACCCGGGTCCCTCCGGACCGCAGGCCAATGCTCTAACCGCTGAGCCAAACCGGCCAGGGAGTGACGCTGGCTTTTGTAAGCCCAGGCATCAAGGCAAATAGGAATGCTACGAGAGGACCTCCTGATGCCCAGTGAGACTGCACGTGCTAACGAGCCGAAGGGGCTAATGTTGAGCAGTGGACAACAGACAGAAGCAGAAAGACAAGCAAAGGCCAGATGAGAGGGGAGAGGGGAGAGAAGACAGAAACAGGTGCATGGAGACAGCGAACCAGTCCTGTGCTCTAGCAACCTTCTCGCCCCTCTCGTGGTCCTCTCTAGTGTTAGCAACACCCACCCGAGGACAGGCCTGCGGACAGCTCCTCCTGAATAAGTCACGGCTGATAAACCGAAGACTTCCCAGCCTGGCTGAGAATCTGCTCCATGCCAACCCCACGGGGCAGGACGAGAAGGAAAGGTCCTGGGCTGGGGGGCAAGCTTATATCCAAGTAACAACTTGGCCTGGTAGCAACTGTGTTCCTGGTAGCAACACAGTTTGAGCTTTGTAACGGGACTGAGGGTGGCTTAGGTGCCGTTAGGGCAGTGACAAGGACAGGGAGAAGTTAGTAGGCTTCTCCAGGAGCTCCATCCCTTATGTATCTACCGGGGGCCTGTGCACTTAGCCGCAGAGCCAACTCCAAGACCCTGAGACAGGGACTCAGCCGACTCTCAGCTCCAGGTCAGGCACATTGATGGCAAGAGCGCAAGCTTCCCTGCATTTAAGGAGGTGCACGTGGGGGAGAGCGTGTGGGGGAGAGCGCGTGGGGGGAGCGCCTGTCGGAGAGCGCGTGGGGGAGAGCATGTGGCTTTCCCGGAGCACCTCTCTTCCTAAGGAAAAGCTTTCTCAGGCCCTTCAAGGCACTATCTCAAGTCACCTTCATCCTAATATCATCACGTACTTTGAACTCAGTTCAAAACTGCTTGTCACCGAGGAGCAAAGTGAGCCCGGAAAGGCTCAGCGTCCTTTCTTTTTACTTAAATTACTGCGAGGGTTCAGAGACAAACAGCCAGGAGCCTCTTAGAACACAGCCTGGTACATAGTAGGCACCTGGCCAGAGCCTGTCTCCCTGGAAACACGGCCGTACAGCCTCCCGGACGCCTGGGGGAACGGAGCAGGCCGCGCCCAGGGGGCAGGGGAGAGGGGTTCACCCAACACTATGCAAGGGAAGAGGCATAGCTGTAGAGGTGCTTGGGGCTGGTGACGGTCATCTCCATAGAGCAACACCCTCTGAACTCATCTTTTCTGGACACTTCGGTGTTGACAACTTGACCCCTATTGTCAGAAGACACCCCTCCTTCAGCAGACCTTTCCCCACTCCGGGGGGGTTCAGGCTCTTTATGGCTTGAGCTGAGGCATCCACTAGGCATGGTTCTCCTACTGCGCTTTCCAAATATCGATGTGCAGGCCCCCCGGAGGGGCACACACGACACTTTTATGAAGCTCTACCCTGCAGCTGGGGCTGGAACCATGTCCGTCCCAGCATCTGACAGGTTCTAGAAGGTGTGTCCTTCGACAGGCAGGAAGAAAGCCACGCAGCTAAGAGAACAGCCGTTACCAGCAGGAGGGCAGAACCACACGCTGCTTCTCAGGCAATTTGTGCTGAAGCCCCCAAATTATATCCCGCTTTCAGAAGAGACATTAATTCCGTCCACGGAGTCTTAACGCAATTACTGCTCAGAGGCAGCGCAATTACCAAGAATTATTGAAGAGGCACCAAGAGGTGAGTTTTGAGGCGCAGCAAAATTATTCCTCTATTCACATACTGCATCTTCAACTAAATGTCTTTGTGGTGGTGGCCAAATGCCAAAAAACAAAAACAAAAAAACTCCAAGCCCCTAAAACCTGCCTAAACAGACCATCAGCAGAGATGCTGGTGCAAGGCCCTGTAACAGGCGCGATGCTATCAAGACCTGTCCGACCCACCCTACTCAGGAGACACAGACGGACAGTCTTCCCTGGTGATGGGAGAACTTAAATGCGGCTATATCCAGAGATAATTTGGATTTATTTCCAAGGCATCTGGTTCTCTCGGGAATAGACTCCACTTGCTAAGACCGTCACTGCCATTACCCTAAGTTTCTGCTGGGTAAGAGGAACAGTAAATAAAGGTCTAGAATGAACCTATTTCACTGGATTTATTGAACAAAAAACTTTCACAAGTTGTCACAAAGAACTTTGGACATCCGACATCTCTGTTACAATCTCATGCAATGGGAACGATCATTTCCAGGCAACAGGTTCTTTTTCTGAGACATCCCCTGTATTCAGTATTTCACTGTTAGGGGCTGTTAAGCCACATTAAGATTCTTGACTCCTGCAGAAATCAGGTACACCTCGCTAAACAACTCAAGAGTATTTGAAAGCCCTGAATTCCAACCCAAGATAAGTTTTAAAGAAACGACTGTTCTTACGTACACTCCACAGAAACCAGTTAGAATCTGACCCTTCCTCACCACTATTTGTGGGGAGAGAGATTTCAGGAGTAATTTCTGAGACAATGCTATTCATCTAGCCCTTACTGAACCAGCCCAGTCTGACACATCAAGTACGTAAATAATAAAAAAGGCCTCACAGGGCGTCAAGCTAGAAAGACCTTGGCTTTATGTAAATTACACACTGGGCTTGAGTAAGAGTGTGCGTGCATGTGTGTACGCGCCTGTGTACAGAGCCTCCTCGTTTAGAAAACAGCTCTTCACCGGCCCATGCAGAGCAGCACACTGAGTACACGCGGCTACGGGAAGAGTTCTGCTGCCGGCCGCCCTCCCGGCCCAGCTCAGGCACACTTTGCAGAAGTGTTCTCAGGAGACATTGGCATTGTCCCCGGGGAGGTGCGGAGAAAGGGAGGGCTTTCGGATTTAATACCAGCATCTAGGTCGTGACCAATGTATTTGCCAGTGAAAAGTGAAGAGTTCTGGCTCCAATCCCTCCGTGATCCCAAGCAGGCAAATCCCACTGCATAGTTCATGCATCTTTTCTTATCAGTGAGCTATTCATGTCTGAGGCGCTGGAGGTGACTGACTGCGGAGGCACTGGCTGGAGCGGAAGCAGGGGAATGGGGAGTAGAGACCACGCCCTGCGGGACAAGGCTGGAATACACTCAAATTAAGAGCTATTGGGAGTTTGAGGTGAAAGGAATTCCCTGGAAAATAGAAACTCAAGTGTATTTAAAATCTAGCTCCTTCTAATAATAATGCTTTAAAAAGCACCCCCAACAGAAGAGAAATAAGTTTCAGTACAAGACTTTCTTCCCCAAGGTTTGTTCAGAAATCCAAAACTCACCGTTGAATGCATGTTGAATGCTCGCTGGGCAGGCTGGTGGGCGTCGCCGAGAGGCAAAGGGGATTCTCCGCTTCCACTGACCTTTGTACCCAAGACAAGGCCAACATTCTGGAGGTCACCCCTCTCCCCTATACTGTGTGAGAAGAAGTTGGGACACTAGGCAAAGTCTCAACTCTGCAAATGCGCACATCCTTGAATGTTTTTCCTAACAGATAAGTCGGTGTGTTCTGAGTGTTCCATGGAAAAAATATAACAGAAGTCAAGTCCCTCAGAAAACTGCTAGGCTAGAATGAAGACACTTGGTGGTTGAGAATTGCTAAGTCAGATAAGACAGATGGGATTCCTGTAGCATCGGAGGTTCAGTGACGTTGAGGGCTACGGGGGGAGCCAAGACTTCTGTCCACAGAACATCCCAGTGGCAGCCCTGCACCCCCCACCAGAACGCCTCTTCCTCTTCCTCCTCCTCCACCAGGCTGCCCTGTCCCCACTCTGCCTCCCACGAGGCCGTCCACAGCTGTCTCGTCAGCACAACACAACCCCGCAGACAGAGAATGACAGAGTGGTGGTGGCTGCATTCTCCACAGATACACTAAGTATCACTGAATAACACACTGCACACAGCTGAATTTCATGGTGAGTGAATATACCCCAGTAAAGCTGTTAATTTAGAAAGAGGATCAGTTGCGTTTAACAGTAGCTGTGAGCATGTGGATCCCAGGGTGGGAAACAGCTTTGCCGAGAACGCAGACACATGAGCAAACAGATGACAAGTGTGTTCAGAATTCCTCCAACTTTAATTTGGGGTGAGATCAGGCAGCCAGTGAGGATAAAATGTAGTCCCTGGGAGCAATCACAATGCTGTTTTGTGTTTTTTTGTAAAGTGGACACGGTAAGAGTTATTTTTTTTATTAGCCCAAGTGGTCAAAAGTGCTGTAATTGTCCTCATTCCTCAATTGTCTCTTTTTTACCAGTTTCTTGCCCTTCAAAGAGAGGATACCTGGCCTCCACATCAGCCCAGGTGAGGGTGCCGTTGGCCAGATCTCGGACCACATGGGGCAGTTCAGAGACCTAGGATAAACGGAAAGAAAAGACCAAGATCAACCAACTGGATTAGATTGTTAAAAAGGGTTCACCCTGAACTTGGGAACCCTTACAGAGCTAGTTAGTGTTCAAATAATGACAGGATCCCTCTACAAACTGGTCCCACAGAATGTTTCTTGTCCTTCCCTCTGCAGTGTTACTTAATTAGCCTCACCTCCGTCCCGGACTGAGCGCGTGCTCCTCTTCCAGCCCAGAACCCCAGCCCTCCCAGAGCCGCCCCCAGTGTTCTAGTCTCCATGTCGCGCGCAGAACTCCACGTGTTCAGCTGTGCTCTTAGGACAGGGTGCCTCGAGTGACAGAGTGAAGGGAGCCAGGGCGCGAAGGGGCCAGCTTGCTCCTTCACCCTAACCAGACACTGGCTGCTCACACAACGGTTCTCAAACCTGAGCATCGCGACCATCTGGAGATCTCGGTAAAACAGTTCTGCCCACTCCTCCTCCCTCCCCAACCCCAACCCCACACAAGCCCAGCTTCTGATTCAGCAGGTCTGGGGTGGAGATTCTGCTTCTCCGGTGCCGTCCCAGGTGATGTGGATGCTGCCGGCCAGGCCCACCCGTTAGAACCACTGAGAAATGGGAACGCAGGTCCAGAGGGATCAGATCTGCTTCAGTGAAGACAAGCCAGGAAACCTGTGACTTCTGAACTGGACTGAACTCCCTTGGAAAAGCGTCTTTCATTCCTGCTCCCCTATGACTAACTCTCTGGACCATGCTGCACTCACCAGGCACTAAATAAAAACCTGCTCGAGGTTAATAAATTAGTCAGTCGGCTGTCAACTCAAGCGGTCGCTTTCCTTTCCCTTCGGTACTTTTCCGTCTCCAGAATTACCTTCTCATTAAGCAAAACGACTACACACATGCACTGTTTTAAATGGACTTACGTGGAAAAGCTTATACACACACATGTACATATTTATATAGAAATGTAAAGATTAAAATGTCTAAGTTCCTCAAAGCCTGCTGATAAAACTATGGCAACAACCGCCTGGGATCCCGTTCCTCTTGCCCAAAGAAACAAACAACTATAAAAGCAAACTGCCAGAGAATGAGCCCAGAGTGATCCAAATGGCTAGAAGATATTAGAGAAGTGTTAATGAATATTTTCATAATGCAACCAAGGGGACTTGGGAATCCGTGCTCTGTCTGTTACAAGCCTATGATTAAAATTAAAAAGTAGAAAGGGGGGGGCATAAATAACAACACCCAGCTCAAATGAGAAGAGACCCACACATGGCGCTAAGACCACCAAGGCCAAAGGGCAGGCCAGTCACCTCTGCTCGGATCTGCCGCATGGAGTCCCGGTCCCTCAGGGTTGCAGTGTGCGGGGTCTTGTTCACGGTGTCAAAGTCAATGGTGATGCCGAAAGCCACGCCGATCTCATCCGTCCTGGCGTAGCGTCTTCCGATGGACCCAGAGGAATCATCCACTTTGTGGGAGACGCCATTCCTGGTCAGGGCTTCCGCTAGTCAAAATGAATTAAGTAAATTCAAAATAAAATAATGGAGAGTCCCAGTGTTGTTTAAATGTTGTCTTACAAATTGAGAAAACTTATGAAAGGAACTAAGACAGGAGAGTAATGAGTTACAGTTGCAACAGAAAGAAAATCCGCGAAGTTTAGTAAGGCCCTTGCTGGAGCCCGCCCCCACTCACGCCCACCCCTCCCACAGCGCCGGGGAGTGAGTGTCCGACCAACAGTCACGGCGGGGCCGGTCCTTACTCAGCACCTCCGTCTGCATGACCCTCAGCTGCTCAACGAACACTCCTGGTTCCCCACTCTGAAATAAGTGAGCAACACCAGTGACCACGAGGATCCCTGCCAGTGCTGTGGGTTCAGAGCCTGGAGACCCACCTGGGTGCCCTGTGAAGTTAGCAGAGCACCGGGGTCAACAGGAGAACCAGGCAGTTTCAGTCTGACTCTTGGGTCCCACCTTGACTCATTCAAATACCAGGAGAAAAACATTCGAGCAAGTTTATGCTTGCTTAGAAATAAGAAGAGGCTAAAATCACCTAGATTTTATTAAAAATAAAACATTTCCTAAAGTTCAGTCTGCTGGACAGTGCTCGCAGGAGGACTGCTCAGTTGGATTTGCTTACATAATTCCCTGACAAACGGCACGAACTCCTGGTTTTGGCTCAGTGGAAGGACGGAACATTTAAATGGTGCTACCACGGCCGGGAAACTGAAGAACTAGATAAAAGAAAGAAATACAAACATGTTAGTTTATAAAAATCTAAATGCTAATGTCCAAACTTCACTACCAAAATATCAGAATACACACTAGGAAAAGCAGCATGACAAAAGAATAAAAGCAGGCTAACCAGAACCAGAACCAGGAAGATCTACATTTTAGCTGAATTCGGACCAACATGGTTGAACTGTCTCTGGACCTTAGTTTCTCCCTGAACAGTAGGTCTCTACCGTCTGCGCTGCACGCTCACCGGCCTGTTGAGAGTTAAGTGATGGGAGAGCATTCTCAAAGCCACCGCAGACAGAACCCACGTCAGCTGTCTGGCACCCTATGCAAAGCCTTACAGCCTTACCTCTTTCTGTGGAGATCCCTGAAGAACCTCCCTCCAAATCAGCAAATAAGTGGAAAGGCCCCAAAACAAAACCCCATTGTCCTCGAGAAGTTTCAGCACAGCAGAAACTCATGTAGATCTAGGAGCCTCAGTAACAGAGTAAAACCAGAGAGTTTAATCAGCTCACAAAGGTATGTCCAAAAGAAATAATATAAAACAACAACAAAAACGTTCTGTAGACCTGTACCGCAATGTACGGACCTCTTAGACCGCCCCTGAAATGGTTTTCAGAGTCACTCAGAAGATGAAACTCGGAATAGGTCCCATAAGTAATAAATGACACGGGTCCCAGGTTAGCCCACCCCCAAAACCTAATTGACGTCTGGTGCCAAGTGGTGGTGGACCCCGCTGGGAGGAAACCCCAGACGTGAGCGGCGCGGCTGCGAGTCAGTGTCCCAGATCCTACTCGTCGCCCCACCTGTGACGATTCCTGCGCGAGGAGTGGCACCTGCCTTCATGGGGAAAAATCTATCTCACTGAAAATTTTTTTATACCAAATTCATAGAAAAATGGATTTAGGAACTAGGTGCTAATAATTTAAAAACATTTTTGGCTTCCCACAGCCTAATTTCTCTTCATGACAGGAACCTCTGCAATTCATAAAACACCGTCAGTAATTTACTCTGGCTTCGCCCTTACAAAATTTCTACCAAAACTCTAGTCTTACCAATATTGTTAGATTCAAAGGAAGAGCTAAAAGATTTTTTTAAAGCCTACTGAAAAAGTAAACAGAAACCCTGGCTGGTTTGGTTCAGAGATTAGAGCATTGGCCTGTGGTCCAGAGAGACCCTGGTTCGGTTCCCGCCACAGTTGCGGTTTGTCCCCGGCCTTGGTTGGGTCAGGCCGTGCAGGAGGTGGCCACTTGATGTGGCCCCTTCACATCAATGTTTCTCTTTCTCTCTCTCTTCCTCTCTCTCCCTTCCACTCTATCTGAACAAAAAGTGGGAAAATGTCCTTGGGTGAGGATTAAGAAAAAAAAAAAGTAAACAGAAAAGCTGGTAGCAAATCTGACATCTACGAAGAACACTTCCAGCTGTGGATGTCATCGCTCCTCGAGATCTCGCCTTATGCCTGCACCCTTGGTATCTGGCCCAGGTTCTCTCTCTCCACTGAATGAATCAAAAGCTGCTCCTTAAATGTCAGGAAATGAAGATGCAACTTGAGAGCAGAGAACAAAATAGCGACTTTATCAGCTACAGACTACCAGTGTAAGTACGTCGGACTTTACACTACTGGCATCACGAGCGCACTGGCCATTCTTCAAGATTAAATGTCCGGGAAGAGCGGCAGAGTCAGCGCCAGTGTGACTAAAATCACGCACTCCGCTTTGGCATGGTCAGGTCATGCTGAGAAGGCTCCTCTCAGTTAGTGTGACATACATGGCCTCTCTTCCCGGCCCTGCTTCTGACTGAGCTCCTCCGGCGAACACTGGGTACAATTCCGCAGGCAGAGGCGAGAGAAGAGGTGAAGTAGGCGAAATGAAGCGAGAAGAGGCAGACGGGGCCGTGCTACAGAAGCATCAGAGCCAAACAACCTCACGGAGTTAGACTTCTTATACGTATTATCTTTAGCAACGCTTGAATGGTGGAAGGGCTACACCCCAAATACCAGTTCCCAATTTACCATCTGTCCATCTCCCACACTGGAGTCATTGGAGTGCCTATAAAAAAACACAGCTCCCTGGATCTGAGACCTTATAAATCAGTATCTCTGAACTAGAACCTAGGAATTTATAACTTTACCCTAAAAGTTCCCCAGACAATTTCAAGGTTCCCTTACATGCTTTACAAACAGTGCAAACATACAATTTTTTGGTTTGGCCAAATTCTGTGAGCCATCCCTTGCTTTCTAATTTTCTGAAAACATGACTATATCCAGAAAGGATCATTCCTTCCACTGACGCAAGATGGTTCCCACGAAGCAGTATGTTCTGTCTCTGGATGGAGAACAAGCGACTACAACGGCACTGAGAGCAGCCCACTCTCCCTGAAGCTCACTGACACAACATGAGGTGGCGCACTGCTCTGTGCAGCCAGGAAAAGATGAGCGGCAACACCACCAGGACACTGCAGTGAGCGACAGCTAAGTGTCCGTCAGCCTTATGAACACACTTCAGCAAGTTCCGCTTCTGACGCTGTAAGAGAAGACGACACCGCACAGGGCCGCTTACCGTCCTCTGCTCGTCTCCCTCTCGCACGTGGAATGTATGTTCCAAGACCGTGTACATGATCCTGCCCAGGCCAAAGGAGGGTTCAATTACATTCGGAACAACTTCTTCCACTGCAAGAGAGATTCAATAACACTCTCTGAAACCGCACTTAATGCATTTCAGGTCCTCTCCAAGCGATCCTTATTAGCACTGAAAATGTCTCTATTCTAGATTAATTTTGACTGATCCTGTACATCAGAATGAAGAAATCAGAGCATTCCTAAAAACTATTTGCTGGTAGGAACATGATGCCTATAAAGAGAAAGTTGGAGTGAAAAAACAATTTCATCAAATTGAATTCTTTGTTTATAGAGCATAAAAATGAAACAAGGCCCAAGGTATTTCTTCCCCAGTTGGTAAGCTAAGAACAATAGCGGCTATACTCTAGTGTCTGCCTTGCCTATGCAGAAAGTATTAAAACTCCAGAGCTTCTGTAAGGTTTTGCTAGAATTAACAATTTACCATGATAGCTGGCAAAATTAACAAGAATAATTCCTATACACACAAGTAGCAAACGGTCTGTTTGGTTTCTTCCTATCTGGGTGAGAACTCTAAGAGCCAAGTGACAGCCACTGTATTCCCAAGGTTCTGCGGTCAGCAGGCCCTTAGAGAGGTGTCTGCTCAGGGCTGGACACCCACACAGACATTTCCCAGGGGCACACAGCGTTTCCCGGGGGGGAGGCTGTACCTGCAGTACACACAGGAAATGTACTCGTTAGTGCATTTTACTCAGAAGAGACACACAGCTAAGCACTGTCAGGTCTAAGGGAACTGGCCTTAACCTTGAAGAGTTTACTTTTCAAGGAAAATGAGATAACTAGAACTAAAAACTCATGTATGTGGAAGAAGAGAGGCTATTTCTTTTGTCTGTGATAAAGACTAAAGAAAACATCAGAAATAGCAGCAAGGCGTTTTCTGCCCATCCTTCCGCGGCATCTGAGCAAGGGTGTGGTTCGGCTCTGACCCGGCTGCAGGTCACGAGAACCCAGCCTCCTGTCATCACTGCCCGGACGGCTTGCACAGCTCGCTGGGCCTGGCTGCAAAGCGGCGGAGCGGGAACGCAGGCCCGCTCCCTCCCCCGGCGGGACCGTCCAGGAGCTTGGATGTAGCCACCACTAACCACGAGCATCCTTCATACACCTTCCAAAATACTCATGTCCCAGTTCACAGAATTTGTTCTATAAAAAATAGTCATTTCCTTGGCTTTTAAGAAAGCATGAAAGGTCACTAATCTAAGTAAATTTTAAGAATTTGCCACACAAAAAAAAACCCAGAAGAGGTGAACCCCCCCCCCTTTTGCTTAGGAAACAAAAGCCCTTTTCCTTAAAATGAAAAAAAAATAAAATCTTTGTAATCAGAGATATTCTTTGCACCTGAAATCATAGGAAATTTAAAGGTGGCACCATAAATTATGAGCACAATTATGGTTTTTAAAACAGACCCAAGATAATGCCTTAAACACATTAAATTTAGGGTTATGGCATTAAGAATTTCCTTTTCCTCTTCAAATTTTCAGTAAATTGGTTATGTTATAAAAAATTTTTTAAAAACAAAAAATAAACCTTTACGCAGTAATAGTATTTCTTGTTTCTTAATTATTTGTACAAATTTACCATATAGTGTTTTCTGGAACCTCTTCACACTGACCATGTCTTCTGTCAACTGAAATGTTTTCCCTTCAGTTTCAATCGTGAATTCCCTACAAAGAAACATCACTTATCAGCGAAAACATGCATCCCTGTGCCTTCCTTGAAAGGAGTTTCACAAATTGCTGGACTGTTTCTTAATTTTAGTGTAATACGACTTAGTCAACTCTCCAGATATAACAGCTGAAGTCAAGCTGAAATTATTTCCTAAGAAATACAAAATTAAGTATTATTCTAACAACGGCACCAAACAGTATTCTGGGAGGCAATAAAAAATATGACTGGCCCTGGCCGGTTTGGCTCAGCAGCTGGAGCGTCGGCCTGCGGACCAGAGTTTTCCGGGTTCGATTCCCACTAGGGGCACGTGCCAAAAGAAAATGACTAGTTTTATAAAATTCCATGTGACTTAATGACTGATTCCTTTGGGTTTTGAGATCAAGGTAAAACCAAAAACAATTTTTTTTAATTCAGTTCTGGAATAATTACAATAAAGTTGTCAGAAACAGGCCTGCTGACAAAAGACCACTGTTCTCCTGACTGTCCCAACAAATGGAAGAATGACCAGCTTGTCACTGTACAGAACATAATTTTGTTTTTTATGATTATTTTTAAAAATATGTTTTTATTGATTTTTTTTAGAGGAAGAGAGAGAGATAGAAACATTGAAGCGAGAGAGAAACATCGATCAGCTGCCTCCTGTATGCCCCAACTGGGGATCGAACCCACAACTAGGGAATGTGCCCTGACTGGGAATTGAACCAGGGCCTCTCTCTCAGTCCATGGGATGACGCTCTCAATTCACTGAGCCACACCGGCCCAGCCAGAGAGTAATTTTAAAACTCCCACACTATTTCCAAAATAAATTTTGGCATTTGTGTTGATAAAGATCAGCTAAAAGTTTAATTATTCCATTTGATATGTCAATATAAAACATTACCTCTCCTACCCCCAAAAAATAACTGACTACTGTATGTTCCCATCCTGAGATACACCCGTGCAGTTTCAGGTTATGACTTCAACCTTTATAAAGCACTTACAAGGCATTTCCTCACATTGTGAAGATCAGTTTGGATTTCTCACAAGCAGCTCAGTGCTGGGAAGAGAGAGCCCCCCTATGGTTGTCTTCGAAGCTGTCTGGCTGGCACATGTTGCTCTGCGTTTTGCTAGTTTCTGGGAGTGATAATCTCATGCCTCACATCAATGACTTCCATTGATTCCCTCCACTTGTCCATTCTGTCTGCGGTTTGTGTGTGCATACCTTAAAGATCCCACTACATAAACAGTATCATGTACATTCTCTCTGCAAGCACAGTCTAAGCACAGAGTGGGTAACATATTAAAAAGTTTAAATGAGCAAGAAGGAAGCCATTATTTGAGAATAATTAAAAAAAGAAACTGTCATTATTTGTGGATAATAATATCTAACTAGTGATCTCATTATGTCCATTTTAATAAGATTTGATGTTAACATAAACAGATGTTAGTTCTAGGAGACCAGAAATGTTTTAAAATTTTCCTACTGAAATGGATAACTGTACCCTCAACTTACAGGGATTCATCTTGCTATAGTTCTTTTGACAAATGTACATGCATGTGCGCCACCATCGCTGCAGAAGTTCCCGTGTCCCTTATCTCAACCTCCAGCCCGTTAGCCACTGACGTGTGTCCTATCACTATACACGAGGTTTCTTCCCTCGAGTCCCACACACGATCTTCTGTGTAAGCCTCCTTTCACTTAGCCTAGCATACGACAGACGCGGGCAGATTTTCTGTACAGGGCCAGATGTAAAATAACACAGGGTTGCAAGCCACATGCAGTCCCATGTGTTCTCTTTCTTAAATAACTTTCAAAAATGCAAAATTCATCCTTAGCTGGAAGGCTGTACACAAACAGAATGAAAGATGTTTCAAGTTCTCTGAAAAAAATGTACTCTGGCTATTAGCCCTTTCTATAACTGACAATAAAGCTGATTAATAGAGATCTTCGAATTCCTATTGATTTTTTTTGTCTACTTACTCTACCAATTACTGAGAAAGGGGTAAAAAAATCTCCAACTATAATTGTGGATTTGTCTATTTTTCTTTTCAGTTCTGTCAAGTTTGCTTTATGTTTTTAGTTGCATATACTGTTAGAAGTGAGGCCTTCCTGATGAACTGAACCCTTTGACACTGTGAAATGCAACTTTGCCCCTGGTAATTTTCCTTGTTTTGATGTTTACTTTTTCTGATATTAATAGGAACACTTTGATTAATGTTTGCAAGAAAACATTTTTTATTCTTTTACTTTTAAACCTATTTCTATTACAATTACAGTAAGTGTCCTGTAAACAGCATTTAATTGGGTCTTAAATTTTTTTAAATGGTCTGACAATGGCTATTAATTCAGCTGTAGATCAGAGATTTTCAATATATTTTTTTTTATCTCATGGCTCACATAAACTAGTTACAAAAATTCTACAGCACACCAAAAAATATATTTTTAATGATCTGACAAAAATAAAATAGGTATAATTTTTATTGATTTACCAAAATAATAATAATAATAATTACCTACCCTTGTTGCTCCAAAGTGACTTTTCAAAAAAAAAAATCAGTTGCCTATACTTTAATGAAAGGATTTCTGGCACCAAGAATTAACCAATCGGCCCTGGCCAGTTTGGCTCAGCGGTTAGAGCGCTGGCCTGTGGTCCAGAGAGACCAGGATTTGGTTCCCGCTAAGGGCACATACCTCGGTTACAGTTTGTCCCCGGCCCTGGCTGGGTCGTGTAGGTGGCAACCACTCGATGTGTCTCTTTCATGTCGATGCTTCTCTCTCTCTCCCTCCTTCTCTATCTGAATAAAATATGGAAAAATGTCCTCGGGTGAGGATTAAAAAAAAAAAAAAAGAATTAAGCAATCAGACACAACCTTATTATGCTACTTGACCAATAAGATGCAATTCTATTATATATTTGTGGTTTAAGGGAAGGTATTCATCCGGGATGGCTATTGTAGTGTTGGCCGTTGTGATTTTTCATTTGACAATCTAAGGGAAAAGAGGCCAGTGCTCCTGACTGAAGAGTCAGGTATTGCACGCTTTAAAAATTCTTATTGCAAACCTATTGAAAATCACTGGTTTAGATCATTACATTTAGTATAGTTATCAATATTGTTGGGTTTAATTGTATCACCTCATTAGTTATTTTATATTTGTTCCATCTGTTCTTTGTTTATTTCTCTTCTGTCTTCTTCTGGAGTATTTTTTATTATTCTATTTTATCTCCCTTATTGGTTTACTAGTAATATCCCTTTGGTTTTTATGTCTTTTTTCCAAGTAATTGCTCTAGAATTCACTATATGTACTTTTATTAACTTATCATGCTACCTTCAAATAATACTATGCCACTTCACATACGACATACACAGCTTACACTGGCACATTCCCAATGCTTTGCTCCCACCCTTTGAGCTATTGAGGGCATACATTTTCCTTCTATATTTTTATAAATTTCACAATACGTTGTTATTGTTTTTTTTCTTTAAACAGTCCGTTGTCTTTTAAAGAAATTGAGAGATGTCATTTTAAGGAAATCAATGAAAATGTCATTTATATTTACCCACATATTTAGCATTTCTAGAGCTCTTAATTTCTTTGGGTAGATCTAAATTTCCACTTCTGCTTGAAGAGCACCCTTTTACATTTCTTGCAGTGTAGGTCTGCTGGCAATGTATTCTCTGAGCTGTTGTCTGAAAGCATTTTCTCTTCATTTTTGAAGGATATTTTTACTGGGTCTAGGAATTTTGTCTATAAGTACGTTAAATGTTTTCATTCTGTTGTGCTGTTGCTCGCCTAGTGTTTGATGAGAACTTTAATCATTCCGAATATCTTTGCTCCTTTTTATGTAACGAGCCATTTCCTCCTGGGCTACTTTAGAGTTTTCTATTCATTACTAGTTTCCAGCAATTTGATTCTGATGTGCCTTTATGTGGTTTTCTTTTATTCTGCTGGGGCTGAGCTTCTTGAATCCCTAGGTTTATAGCTTGCATCAAATTTGGAAAATTTTCAGCTACTGCATCTTCAGATATTTTCGCTGTATACTTTCTCTGTGACTCGCAATTACACGTTAGACTGCCTCTTACTGCCCCAAAGGACATTTTTTTCTCCCAGTCTCTTTTTCTATGCCTCACTTTAAATCATATCTATTGCTATATTAAGTTCAATTATCTTTTCTTCTGCGATGCTTAATCCACTGTTAACCCCATTCAATTGAGATACTGACTTTAGATGTTCCATTGGTTCTTTTCCCATAAATATTTCCACCTCTCACCTCATATGTTCATGTGTTCCCTTACATCTTTGAGCATATAAAGCATACTTATAATAACTGTTTTAATATCCTTATGTATTTATTCCATCATGTTTATAATTTCTGGGTGTTTCTTTTAATCAACTCTTCCTCATTATAGTTCACATTTTCACGTCTACAAATTTTTAATGTAGTAAATTTTACACTCTTTAGTTCTGGATTTTGTTGTATTCCTTTAAAGATTCTTCTCAACTGCTTTTATATTTATGCTTAAAACAATTACAGAGACTACTCCAAAGTTAAAAACACAGCACTGACCTGAAGACAGATATAGTTTCTAATCCTTCCTCAGTCACTACCTTGGACAAGTCTCCTCCTCTAAGAAAGTTATTGGGGGGGGAAAGATCTCTATAGTCCATTTCAAATTTATTTATGGCTATAGTACCTAAATCTCGGCAAGCCCAGTCCTTTAAATGTAGCCAAGAGATAGTACTTACCTGCAAAGAATTTCTAAAGGCACTAATCTCACCCTAACTTTCAGAGCCTGGCAGAGAGGATGTATTTGACTGGAGCCCATGTAAAAGTACACATTTTAAATCTTACCCTTTTTCATTCAGTAGTTTCTCCATTTCTGTAATGTAACACTCATCACAAATGGTAAGGTACTCCAACACCAGCTTCGCATCCTTCTTATATGCCTTACCAATTGCTCCCTTATTAGGTTCAAACTGAGTAACATTGACTGTTTTGTATGAAGTAGTCAAGGAATCCAAAAATGCAGAACTACTTTAGTATTTTGGGAAATAATCTTGAGAACCACAAATCATTAAAGTAAATACCATCAGTAAAGATTTTTTTCAAAGTTACAGTGAGATAGAGAGATATATTATCTAATCAGCAATATAGCCCAATACATAGCATAATAACTTCTGATAATAATTTATTCATTTCTAAAATACCCCAACACCACTGACCTAACCCTAAATTCAGCTCACAACTTCACTGTCTGGTAAAGTAAGGAAATTTCTACTGTACTGATCAACCTAACAAGTGAGCTAAATTTTAATTTGATCTACCATAAAACAGCACTCATCTTTGAACAGAGGAAGTATTCACCAGGTACTCTTTATGTAAATAGTGCGTAAGTAGGTGCAGGTATGGAGAAATGCATTTTGGAAATGGTTAAAAATAATTGGTCCATACCATGAAAGACATTTAGAGTATTTCTCTGAAAATACTTCTTTTAAGAACCAAACACTGGGTGGGTACACGCAGATTATAAGTAGGGAACAGGAAAGGTGCAGTGATGGGTAAAATAACAGGTTACCCCAGTATGAAACATCTGTTTATCCAAAGAACAAGGCGCGGACCTGGACTCATCTACTTCCAGGACATTAACACGTCAGTCCTGAGCTGAGCGGTAACTAGGAAGGATATGGGCTCTTTCAGCGGCTTCTCTGCTACAAGTGGGACTTTGGTGGCTCGCGCATGGCAAGAAAGATCATAACAGGACCGATCAGCACATCCCACAATCTCAATCCAGCCCTAAGGAGGCAGAGTAGATAAAACATTTATTCCTTACAATTAGGTCATTTACAAACGTATGCAGATTATAACTGACTCTTTCATATACTCAGTGATAACTCAATTATAGAATCTCCACTCGACTTTTATAAATGTTTGAAATGGGGATAGTTTTACACATCAGGCAGCTCCCACCCTATAAAACATAATTCCCACATGTACACAAAACAGTCTTCTTACTTTCTGGACAGTTCTGCCATGCTGTGAATGTGGGCTAAACTAACACATTTTAGGATTTAATTGTGAAAATAAAATGTGAACCTAGGGGAAAAAAACAACAACACAGAATTGTTTCAAATTTGTGACCAGGACTCAAAATAAATCTGGCAGAAACCACTACGCCTTTTGGATGAAGAGTCTACAGCTCTCACAACTCAGCATCAGATGGTTGTTTCCTACCCAGCAGAAGAAAACTCCGTTGAGGCAGGTAATGTTCAGCCACAGAATAAAGCTTAAAACAGCATTGGTGCCAGGTTCCATTTCTTGTTAATACCTAAGATTCTTTTCAAAAGCACAATCTAAATTGTTTTCAAAGACCCTTAAGAACCTGTTATTTGAATAAGAATAAAAGAGGCAAAAGGCTTATTTTAGGACATATCCATAGTTAGTCGTTGTGAATCATCATTTTTTGCCTTTGATTCAAAAAGTTTGGGAGCCCAGCCAGTGTGGCTCAGTGGACTGAGCATCGTCCCATGGACTGAGCGGTCCTGGTTCGACCTCCAGTCAGGGCACATGCCCAGGTTGTGGGCTCGATCCCCAGTGGGTGGTGTGCAGAAGGCAGCTGATCAATGTTTCTCTATCACACTGATGCTTCTCTCTCTCTCTCCCTTCCTCTCTCTCTAAAAAATCAATAAAAACATAGTAAAAAAAAAGTTTGGGAAAAATCAACCATCATGAGCTTTCCAAGTGCATGTGACCACATGAGGCACTTGGAATAAAGAGAGCAAATATAAAACTCATATAAGCTCAGAAACCACAACACAAAATAACAACAAAACAGGAATTAAAGAGCAAAGCCTGAAAACATGTACCTTGATCATCTGACATTTACTAAATCGTCAACTGGTTATATTCACATTCTTAAATGTATAAACATGATCATTATCATTTACCAAAGATGTCAATGAACATATTTATGTACTAAAAGGTAAAATTACAAAAATATGCCCGACAGTGGTACACAACGTTGGGATGGTGGTTACCCCTGAGAAAGACGAGGAGGGGGTGGAGCAGTAGCAGTATCAGTATCAGTAACTATTTTTTATTTTAAAAAGTTAACTATGAAGCACACAAAAAGAAAGTATTAACATTTTTAAAGTCCTCCCCTCTCCTTAAGAGTCTGTTACTGTGGGGCTTCTGGTTTTGTTTGGTCCCTTCTTCCAATGACCTCACACCAAACACTGTAAGATGATGCTAGGCTAAGTCATCTTTTTTATTTCATTTTTTTCTTTAATAATTTAAAATTTAGGAATAATTTACATATAACATATTAGTTTCAAGTATACAATGTAATGATTTAATATTTGTACATATGCAAAATGATCACCATAAGTCTAGTCAACATCCATCACCATTAATAGTTACAGAATTTTTTTTCTTGTGACAAGAATTTTTAAGATCCACTCTCTCAGCAACTGTCACACAATACAGTGTCACTAACTAGTCACCATGCTGCACATTACATCTCCCAGGCTTATTAGGCCTACATTTTCTGATCCCCAGTCCTTAACGGCTTGGCCACAGCTCACGTGGCCCTCGGGAAAGGATGCGCAGGAATGCAGAAGGGACCACTGAAGCAGTGTGGCACAATGGTTAGGAGCACAGGGCGGAGCCAGACAGCCTGGTTCACGCCTCAGCTCCACCGCTCACTAGCTATTAACTTCAACAAACTACTTAACTTCTCGCACTTCAGCTCCCTCAGAAATAAGACCTAGGAGTCAGATTACTGTGAGGATCACATAAAATAATGTTGTGAAGTACCCAGAATAATATACAGTTCTTAACAATTACAAAAGTTGAGTGAATAAATACAATAAATGAAATGTAATCCAGGCCAGATTCAGAATCTAAAAACAGACAGCAAGAAGCTGTGTCTGGTTTAACTTGAATTTAGAGTCAGAGCAAACTAAGAAAGGGAAATGGTACGGAACAAAGAGAAAAGAAGTAAACTTTCCCCACACAGAAAAGAAATTTTTTCTTGGTTTGCTTTGAAAATATAAAAAAATTCCAGAAAATCTAAAACATGTAAAGAAATTAATGATCACCTACAATCCAAAAATAATCACTACTGTCATTTTGGTACTCATTATGTCAAACATGTTTGTAAAGAAAAAAAAGTAAATAGAAAAACCTAACAGATTATAGAAATTCTCTCCTAATTCCACAAAGGAAAATGAATATATCAAAAACATCAATAACAGCCACTATAGATATATGTATACCATTACACATGTACACCTGTGTACGTTTGCAGTACATTTAAAAACATCTGGATCAGGGGTTGACAAACCAAGGCCCATGGAGCTGAGAATAGTTTTTACATTTTTTTTTTTTATCCTCACCCGAGGACATTTTTGCATTTATCTTCAGATAGAGCAGGAGGGAGGGAGAGAAGAAGAGAGAGAGAGAAACATCAATGTGAAAGAGACACATCAAGGGGTTGCCACCCACACGACCCCAACCGGGGCCGGAGACAAACCGCAACAGAGGTACATGCCCTTAGCAGGAAATGAACCCAGGACTCTCTGGTTTGCGGGCCGATGCTCTAACCGCTGAGCCAGACCAGCGAGGGAATATTCTTCAGAATTTTATTTTTGTTTTTTGCTTTACAAAGATGCGTGATTATTTTTTATGACTAATTTTTATTTTTAATTAAAAAATAATCTTAAATCTAGCCGGTGTGCTCAGTGGATTGAGCGTCCTACTGTGGACTGGGAGGTCCCGGTTCGATTCCCAGTCAGGGCATATGCCGGGGTTGCGGGCTCGATCCCCAGTAGGGGGCATGCAGGAGTCAGCCATCTCTCTCACAAAAATGTTTCTATATCTCCCTTCCTCTCTTTGTAAAGAAAATCAATACAAAGTTTTCAAAAAGGAAAGAAAATAATCTTAAAAGAAAGACACTTTAAAAAGTAACACCAAGGGCATATGGGACAATGACCCTGGGCTGAAGTCTCTGTATGGGTAAGAAGCCTCTGTAGGACCAGAAGCACCCCCCCTCCGCCCCCGAATCTGGATGCTACTTTGTTCCCACTGACATCAAGGCAGAAAGTACCTCCTTGTTCCAAATGCCTTTCAATCCCAAACCCCAGTACCAATGTTCATGGTTAGGGGTGGGGGTGGAAGGGTACAGTGAAGACGTAACCTAGAGGTCTTCTCTGAATTCTTAAATGTATAGAATTTGAGAAAAGGTAGTTCCTAAACAAAAGATCAGAATCCATTAGTCTATCCCCCAATCCAAACAGTTCTCTCAACTAAGAGCCTATGACTTTCTCCACTCAGCTCCACCACCGTTTCCAGCGTTTGCTGGGGTCCTCGTCAGGAGGGAGGCCACACACCGTGGCTGCCAGGGTGCTACCAACAACATGCCAGCCCAGGCATACACACCAGCACTGCCCCATCCCGGACATGCGTTCCCGTTCTCTCTGTGGAAGACACCCAAGCCTACAAAGGGCTCCTGGGGCACAGGAGCAGCCCCTCCTTGTAAGAACGCAGGGGCAACTGCTTTTTCCGGTTTGCTCAGGAAAAGATCTCTTTTCTTTTTGTTCCACTCTGACATCAAGAACACAAAAGGCAATTTTGATGTCCATGCTTCTAAGTTAACAACGTGAAAATCACATATAAACACCGTCCCACTCTACTTACGTAGGATGTTTTGGATTCAGCATCCCAACAGTCACAGGCATAATGGGCCATTTCATTCTCCATGTGCTGTCGGAAGCGGAGTTTATCTGGAGATACTCCAACCTTTGTGAGGTAGAGGTAGATGCGGCCAATGAAATAGCCTAACACTGAGTTGTTGATCACACCCTAAAAATAAATGAACAAATACATAACTAACTAAGCAAGCAGGCACAGAGGAAGGAAAAAACACACATTGGTACTTTGGAAGGCCCGTGTACCATTTTCCATTGAGTTATTCATAATCTACTGAGAAATATTTGAAACACAGGTAAGCTAATTAATTTATCCAGCTTTCAGGATAATCTCAAAACTCAGTAGGTGATCTTGGCTATTTTCAAAGGGGTCACTGTCAAGTTAACAAGCTGATAATAATGGAGTTATTCAAAATCTTTCTACCACTCTCACTGTGTCAGCAAAAATTCGGCCTAATACCTTATACCTTCTAGATCTATAATGCTAAAAATGACATTCACAATAATGACCCTAAGGAATAACAAATATATTCCTTCCGAATTAACAAAATAAGATGAGTTGAGGAGATTTTAACATATTCTTATCCACTGAACTCTGTGAGCCCCACAGAGTATATGTAATCTCTCAATTCTAGTCCTGGAAGGAGCTTAGAAATCATCTAGCCCCTTCTCCTGCCCACTGAAGGGCTCTCCTCCAAACAGCGGCCAGCAAGTTATGAACCAGCCTCTACATGAAGCTTCTCAGGGGCAAGAAGCTCACTGTTCCCCGGGGCAATTCACTCCACTGTCGGGAAGCAAATGCTGTTAGAAAAGTTCTTACACATTTTTCTAAGCAAATAATTAGAGAAATTCTGTTATACATAAGACTTTCTCCCAACTGCTATGGGTAATAGAGAAGAGTTGAAAATCGAGATGGCCTGCTCTCTCTCTGAGCGTCAAAATGTCTCCCCAAAGTAGCACATATTGCTACAAGGGGGACCAACAAGGCACATTCAAACCAAGGTCTCTTTTCCAAGTGGTCTCCTAGACATGTTTTTATGTTAGCCCCAAAGGCCCACAAATAGTCATGTTCGGGTAATTTCTTCCCACTGCAACAACAGTGTATACTATATACTGTATAAAAAACAAATAATAAACTGCTAAAAGAAAATATTTTGTCATCCAGTACACAGAATTTGCTAAGTGCTACAAACCCTGAACAGGCACAATCTAAATCAAGTCGACTGTGGAACCTACCTGTTCAACAGCATCCCCCAGGCGCATCTTCCGAGCAGACTGTCCGCTGACCTGGGCTTTTGCCGAATACAAACAAAGGTGGAGGTCTGCCACGTGCTGGAACTTGGGATGGTCTTTCTCACTGGGGTCTACAAAGTGCTCGATTTCTGCCATTGTGAATTCTCTGGAAGCAAAAATGTCAGGGATGAAAGATGCATGCTTAACTATAAAAAACAATAAACAAGGTCCTTATTTTCAAGTTCATTCTATAATGATATAGGTCCTTACACTACAAGAATCTTTTACCACTAAACAGAAAATTGTTTCCTAAGAGAATGGCCAAAATAAAAAGAAGTTGGATTACGTTTATCTGAGTGGTTGTTAAAATTAACTACAATAATGAAAACTTGACTACTCACTTAAATAGTATTTTAAATAAATAGATACAATCAAACTTCTCTCAAATATTAACTCCTTCTGTCTATTTTGTCTAGTGACAAAGATTCTTTTTTTAATTTTAATTAATGTTTTATTTATTAATTTGTTGTTGTTACAGATGTTTCTCATTTTCCCCCTATTGACACCCTCCTCCCCTTCCCTCCAGCCCCATCCCCAGCTTTGTTGTCTATATTCATTGGTCATGTACACACGCATGTAAGTTCTGTGGTTCATCTCTCCCCCCCAACCCCGCTCCCCTGAGGCTTGTCAGTCTGTACCCCACCTCTAGTCTCTGGGTTAACAAAGATTCTTTACTTGACCAAACTTCAGTCAGGCTCCTGAACCTTCTTCTAGGCCCATCTGGCTCCTTGTAAAATCCAGTTTTAACAAGAAGCCTGCTGAAATGGTTTGATCAGAACCACTCCCCTTGCCGTCGATCTCCCTTGCTATTTTATTAGGTTTGTGATACTCCACCATCCACGTCAATGTCTTTAGCAAGAATCCTGTTAGGTCAGTTTAGCCAGAATCTCCCTTACCCCTGCTGTTCCCTCTTAGTAATTCCCACCCACTGACTGCCACCCTGCTCCTCAGCTGTAAATCCCTATCTGTCCAAGCTGTACAGTGGCCCCCTTACGTGTGGTTTTGCTTTCCAAGGTTTCAGTTACCTTGAGTCAGGTGCGGTCTAAAGATATAAAATATACAATTCCAGAAATAAATAACTTATAAGTTTTAAACTGCATGCCATTCTGAGTAGTGTGATGCCATCTCACACGGTCCCACGCTATCCTGCCCAGGATGTGAACCATCCCTTTGCCCATCCAGCGTATCCACACTGTATATACCACCCGCCCGACAGTCACTTAGTAGCCTCTTGGTTATCAAATCGACTGGCATAGTATCACAGTGCATGTGTTCAAGTCACCTTCACAGTAGCCTGGCGTCACGTCACAATGCCTGGCACTCACCTCACCTCCTCTCGTCACACAGGCATTGTAACACCCCACATCATCACAAGAAGAAGGGTGAGGACAGGACAGTAAGGTATTTTGAGAGAGACAGCATTCACATAACTCTTATTACAGTATGTTGTTATAATTGTTCTATTATGCTATATGAGTTATTGTTGTTAATCTCTTACTATGCCTAATTTATAAATTAAACTTATCATAGGTATGTATGTACATATAGAAAAAACCTCGTGTGTATAGGGTTCGGTACTCTACAGTTTCAGGCATCCACTGGGGATCTTGGAACGAGTCCCCCGTGGATAACTTCAGGGGGCTGCTGTATTCAGAACTGAGCCCTGTTCTATACTGGGGTCTCCTTTTCCCTATTGCACTAGTCCTGAATAAAATCTTGTTTTTACAACTTTAAGTATTATCTATCTCTGATTTTTTTCTTTGACACCAGCTGCAACCACAAAAGATTACTTTTAATGAAAAACAATTTCTGAAAAACACACTGGTAGTTTTTAAAATTAGGAAAACTTAAGCAAATGTCAGACACAAAAAGAAATGAAATACAGAAGTGACTTCCATATAAGATCGTTTTTCCTTAAAGCGTTAGCAAGTCTGATATTTACAAGCTCCCAATATTTACTTTTCAAGAATGGGAAATTAACAGTGAATTGAAACTGTTCTTTGGCTTTTATAGTAGCTTGATTTCTTTTTTTTTATTGCTCTGAACAAGTAAGTGACTGATAACGCACCATACAGCCAGTTTCTTTGGAGTAACAGCTTCTTAAATAGTGTTATTCAAGGCAGATGACATAAGGCATGTGCTGAACAAGCTAACATCAAGCTAATTGCAGAATGATGACATAAATATGCACATAGTAATGGTTTCCCAGAGATTCCTCTGAATGGCAATTTAGTAGCAATTGGAGGGAAAAGTGTTTTAAGTTAATTTTATGAGTAAAATCAAATCTTTCTTCTTTAAAACACACACATTTACTAGTGCATTTTTATGATTATCTGAGATGCTTTAGAAGTGATGATAAATTGCTTAAATGAGTCTAAAAATACATGAAACACATTGCAAAGAGCTTTAATTTTTTTTTTTAATGGTATCTCTTATTTAGTCCTGCAGCACCTACGTCTAAATTATCTTTCAACAATTATCAATTCGACAACTATCAAATATCTCTGTGTACACAGAAATGTGAGCGAGACAGAGAGGCACAGTGGCGGTCCTCACAGAGCTTGTAACTGGGCTGGCAGCAACAGAAAATCTATAATGTAGGGCAGATCAAAATAAGGGCCTTGCCCAGATTCCCAAAATAATCTGCCAAAGTCTTTGCATCTGTGCTGTCAAATCCTCCCAGCTCACCGACAAGAGATGGAAATCAACATGAACGTTGATTTTACCAGCTGTCTCTTGTCTTTGAGTTCAAAGACTATGCCTGGAATTGTGGAAACTAAAATACATATAGGCTGTTAAAAAGAAGCAACAGGCCCAAAATGGAGTCACTTGTGCTAAGCCTGTCAGCAAACCAAGACTTAACACATAACCTAAGTTTAGTTCTCAGCCTCTCCCAGAAATGCAACCTTTAACTAGTCAATCTGGAATTACCTGGTCAGCACTAGTAACATAATGGTAGGCCCCTTCCATTCCCCTTTGGAGGGTGACCTTGCCTGAAACAAAGCATTCTTTGTTAATAATTTCCTTTTACCACCCCCTTTCTGGCTTTAAAAACCTTCCACTCTGTACAATTCTTTGGAGTTCCTTTCTAGTTGCTAGAATGGATGCTACTTGGTTTATGAATCATTCAGTAAAGCCAATTAGATCTTTAAAATGTACTCAGTTGAGCCATGGCCGGTTTGGCTCATCGGTTAGAATGTCGGCCTACGGACCAGAGTCCCAGGTTCGATTCTGGCCAAGGGCACATACCTCGGTTGCGGTTCATCCCCGGGGTCGTGAGGGTGGCAACCAATTGATGTCTCTCTCTCACACTGATGTTTTTCTCTTTCTCTCTTCCTCCCTCTCTCCCTCTCACTCTATCTGAAGATAAATGTAAAAGCATCCTCTGGTGAGGATAAAAAATTAATTAGTTAATTAATTAATTAAATAAAATTTACTCAGTTGAATTTTTGTTATTTAACAAAGCCTAGAAGAACCAGCCAATCAAAATTCATTAAATGTTATTTATTTATTTATTTATTTTTAATCCTCACCCAAGGATATGTTTTTATGATTTTAGAGAGGAAGGGAGAAAGACAGAGGGAGGGAGAGAGAGGAAAAACATTGATGTGAAACATGGATCAGTTGCCTCCCATACACACCCCTAACAGGGATCAAACCCAAAACCTAGGTATGTGCCCTGACCTGGAATCGAACCTGCAACCTTCTGGTGTATGAGATGATGCTTCAACCACTACACCACCCAGCCAAGGCAAAATTCAAATAAAATTTTAAAATTTCATATGAACACTCTAATACTCCCAAAACTAAACAAAAGGAATCATAGCTATACAAAAATGAACCTCCTGGTAACTCTATGTCATCAAGAAGAAATCAACACTAAACAAATCCGAGCCCTGCATCAAGAACTATGGGGATAATGACATGCAAGAATGAGTAAACTTCTAGTTGGGACCTTGCAGAGGCACATAACAAAACAAAACAAAACAAGCCAAAATCCAAACAGGATGCTGATGCTTCGAAGTGCAAATGACCAGGGGCTGCACCGTCAGGAGGCCCTGAGGGCCCGTCACCTGTTAACTCCCGGGATGGCTCCTGGGTTCCGAGCCAGCTTTCCTATTTGCCACTTTTTACTCCATAGGCCTCGGGTTTTGCCTTACTTTATGGTCCTTTATAACCTTTTTTCTTTTTTCCCCAATTACATTCAATATTATCCTGTAGTTTCAGACGTACAGCACAGTGGCCAGACAATCCTGTACTTAGCATGGTCCCCCCGGTACTCCGATAGCTACTCGTACAGCCTCTCCAAACACTGGCTTCAGACTGGGTCAGTATTTTGAAAGCAGACCTGCAGACACCAGTGGAACAGAGGGGAAGCCAAAAACACAAGGAAAAAGAGACCAAAACCCAAATGCTGGGAAACAAAGCCGACTCAAATCCGACAAGTTTTCACTGCTCTAACGCTTGGCTCAAGCTTCGAACTACCGCCTCCTCCTGCATGAGGGCTTTGGGGGGTCCTCCCACCCCATTTCTCTAAGTTGTGCGGGCTTCTTCCTCCATGAAGCCTCCCCTTCCTAGACCATAAGGCTGAAGGAGTACAGGCCTGAAGATAAATTTGGTCAGAACACAGGTGCGTTTCCCAGAGGGCGTCACGGGGATGAACAAGATTAGGCAGATGGCCAGGTGCTTTGAGGTAGTCAGCAGCTGGGGTGTGCTACGCCTGAAGTCTGTAATCACAGTAAGAAAGTAAAGAAGAGCAGGAATGGGTGGAGGGAGGGAGCCTAAGAAAGTTAGGTAGTTACCTACATATCCTATTTTTTATATGGAATTTATTGCCTTAAAAAATGACATCAGTGAGAAAATATATAGAAATCACAAAAAACTTAAGTCATAAACAGATAAGTCATAAGTTTCTAAAGAAAAATGTAACTAAACAGCGCCCGTACGCCTTCCCACACGTGCCTGGACACATCTGACGAAAGGAGGTCATCAGAACAGAGGCCCGCGGATGTCTGAACAAGAGCAGACGGGGTAAGCTTGCTAGCTGGCCTCCCTTTCAGACAGGCCTCCCAAAGATCTGGAAGAACCGACTGGTTACTGAAACACCCTCACCCCAACCCCGGCAATGTCGTCCTGCCATAACCATCACCCATCCCCACCTCACCTACACTTACATGCATCACCACGGCCAGAAAATGCTTAGTAATCAAGAGTTTGTCATCCTCAAAACACATGATAAACAAGGGGGAAAGATCATTTTGGAGCAGGGAAGAAACTTAAGCTCTTGACCTCTCTTCCTTTCCCTTCCAGTTCACTTTAGTTACTCAAGACTGCAGTCATCCCAGTGATTACACTTGGTAATACAAATGCAAAACATGCTTTTTTGTAGGACAAAAATAATTATGTAATCATGTAAGAATGAAGCAGAATAGCAAGCTTTCACATGCAATTCAATGCCACGGCCATTTACTAATTTTACCAGAAGAACAACGTGGGCAGTACCTGACTCTGATCAGTCCAGACCGAGGAGAGATCTCATTTCTAAAAGAATTTCCAATCTGGGCAGCAGCGAAAGGCAACTTTCCTTGGTTGAATTCCAAAAGCCGTTTGAAGTTCAGGAAAATCCCCTGTGCAGTTTCTGGTCTCAAATACCTATAAATTGAAATCAATCAGTCTGTTATAAAGAAATTATGTTTCCCAACAAATCTGAAATTCTAGATGCAAATCCTAAAAGTCCTAAATACACTATTTTCACACAAAGCTGTATGAGTCCTAAGACAAAGTTTTAGTAATAGGTATTTTCCTGGTAGCAAACATTAGTGAGCAGGTATTAGAGAATGTACCAGGTAACTGGTATGGCAACACTACTGTAAGAAATGTCATTTTAATCACTCCAATGAGTCCAATACCACTTCCCTCATGATGACCTAAAACATCTATTCTTCCTGACTAGTCATTTACGTGGAGGCAGATGCAATTTCAGATCCTTCGGAAAATCAGACCCATGCCTGCGACCTCTGTTAACCGTACATCACAATGTAACTGTGGGACGAAAAAGAAGCCCATGTGTGCTAACATTTAACATCAGCGCTCACTCACCACAATCACCACACCAAGCCAGGAAACCTTCGAGGCTTCTCATGTTATGTTCTTCTTTGTGGTATTTTACATTTTCAGCCAGAGGCTACTAATATTTCTCCATATGTTAAATATATAACCCCTGTCCTTTTTCTAAATTTTACAAAGAATATTCTGTGCAAAACAACAACTATTTCACAATAAATATCTTATGGAAACAACTTTAAAACAAAACAAAAAAATTTTACCCTTTTGATTTTTCGGCTCCTTTCCACATTTCACCCAAATGTAAGTATAGCTACAGTTTAGGTGCATGTATATAAGTAGATTGTATAAAATCATGCATTCTTTCATTTATTTTATACTTTTCTTTTTCTAAATAACTAAAAATTTATCATATTTAATAGCTGCAGAATATTCTAACATGTTCTACTTTACTGTCATTTACTTGACCACCCTCAAAGTTACAGGATAAATAGGTTAGTTCTACTTTTAATCTGTATACCCTTGACAAGTACAGCTTCCTTTCCTTTTGAATTATTTTCTTAGACACACTCCTAGGAGTGGAATGACAGGTCAGAGGGCATGGCCCATTCTAGGACTCCCTATATGTACTGCCAAAAGGAAAGGCTTACCTTCGGCCTCTTTCCACAAAATATTAACCCTGAGTCTTATTAAAGCAATTCTAGTAATACACTCTGCCACAATCAAATTTTATTATTCTTTAGTTTCTACTCCAAGAAACACGATCTACTTGACTTCATCTTATAAAAACCTACCCTCTCTGACCTGAGACCATCAGGAAACTGACTGGAGCCATGAAATGGAATACTTGGCTAAGTGTGTGAACAACAGACGAGGAATCGGGAAATACAGAGTCTGGTTCTGGATCATACAGTGAACTGTTCAGGTTTTCTTTACTCTGTGAAAATCATGTCTTTTAAATCAGCACGTAAACCTGTGCTGTCCAATGTGGTAGGCCACTAGTAACGTCAATTTAAATTGAAATGAATGAAAATTAAATAAATTGTAAAACCCTGCTCCTCAGAAGCACCTGCCCAGTTCCCGTGCTCAGCAGGCGACGAGGCCCTCACCCTGGACAGCACAGGTTACAGAACATTCCCACCACCCTGGACGGTCTGCGGACAGTGCTGGTCGGGACCAGATGGTTTCGCATCTCCCTCGGCAGTAAGTTCAACGACTCTCAAAGTCATTCTTCACCTTTCTTTCCTGCACTATGACACTCTAACTACAAGATATGATCACAGACCTTTATGTTCATTTTATGACAAAAAACAATCAACACAGACACTAAAAAATTATATTCAGAAAGAATTAGAAAAAATCTAATTTAAGAATATATCTCATAATTTCTCCTTAATATTTTTACTTGCACTTTCTATTGATCACTTTTCAAAATTTTTCCTTCGTGGCTGATATTGATATTTACTTTTTTTGACAAGCAATTTCAGTAACTTTGTTCCATAAACAATAAGTGATACATACCCAGGCATGTTTCCTCCAGGCCCGATGAAGGTCTTGAACATTAAGTTAAAAGATACTGGAGGGGAGAGATCATTTCCAGTAATGGGGGATTTTACATTATAGTTAACAAAAAGATCCCCAAGTTCTTGCTGTCCATAGTTATCGAGCTGAAGAACATGCCAAGAAAATAATTAATGTAAATGACTGAGGAAAAAAACAAGGCACAAGATAAACATTATATATTAAACCCTATCCATCATTAAAACTCACCCGAAATAAGAATGTAAGCATTAACCGAACCTTCCAGATATCCACAGTAAAACCATAACCAGTTTACACACTTTTTATTACCAACAGGGAAATAAAGTATCTTTCTGGGAATGACCTAAAACTCACACATTCACTATTTCACAAGCAAAGATAAGGCAAATACCTCTTATTCAATTACAATGGTTACTGGTTGGCAAGAATCTGAAATCATGTAAATAAGTCTTTAAAGTTGAATTTTAAAACTGTGCATTTTAAGAGTCAGGTGCACTTCCCTGTCTTTTAATTAAATGTACATATAGCTTTCCTTTCCCACTAAATATGAAGCTCCTTGAAGGCAGAAGCTATGTCTTATTCATCATTTTCCAGTTTATTGCACATTCTATATACATCGATGATCAACGCCAAACCCTCTACAATGATACATGACCTCCAACTGAAGTTCAGATGACTACGACAAACCATCTAGCAGTAAAGAATATTTAAAACTTTTTTAAAAACCTCTTAATAGATATAAAATAATTAAATAAATCTACTTAAGGCCATTGAACTGTCTTTGAAGTCAGAAAAACCTGGGTAAATCACCCAACTCTACCACTTACGGGTTGTGTAAGTCAAGACTGAGTTCTTACCTAACCTCTCTGAGCCTGTTTGCGTATGTGTAAAATGGGGGGACAAAATCTACCTCTCTATACAAGGCTTCTATGAAGATTAAATGAAATAGATGTAAAGTACTTAGCACAGGGCATGGCACACAGTATCTACTCAATAAAAGGTGACTATGACAATTTATATTTTCTCCCCTCATAATCCAATGAACATTTTCATTTCACATTACTGATGTCTCCCTAAGGAAATAAAGAAAAAATAATAATTTTTAACTAGTTTCAAAATTCATAGTGTCGATGGTAGTGTTGGTGCGGTTATTCTGAGACCACCAACGTGCACAGAATAGGACAAAGCATGTGAACAGGGCAGTGCTGCTGACAACTGTGACTCTGGGCATGTGTCAGGAGACACAGACTGATGGTGAGTAAAGCAAAGTCCTATCCTTCATGTTCAGCAGAAGTATCAATATGAACTCATGATGGTTCTATCTTAAAAAACAAATTTCCTAGCTCGATCCACTTAAAAGATCCAGACCAATGACCAAGATCATTCCACTTACTAAGTATCTTACTGAAAATATCTGATCGAGCCTCTAGATCCAACTGCCAAATGACAAGAAATATCTAAACAAAGGAGCATGTGAAACATCTCTAAAAAAATGCAATCAGCCAAATCCAGATAGTGGAAAACACTAAGGGCAGAAATGTCTCAAAAAAATTTTTTTAAGGAAAATTAAGAGATGAAAAACCTGTAGATTGAAAGAGTGTTAAGAAACATATCAGACAATCACAAAGTATGAACTTTATCTGGGTCCTAATTCAAACACGTACCAGTGACATTTAAGACAATCAGGGAAATGTGAACACTGACTAAATATATGACAATTTAAAGATTATTAATATTTACCAAAATAACAACAGCAAGGTTCATATTTTTTTATGGATGTTTATCTTTTAGAGATAACAATGAAATATTTACAGATGTAATAAAATGATGTTTGAGATGTGCTTCGAAAAAATTGGGGGAACAAAGAAGGAAAAGTGAGTAAAGATTCAACAAAATTTGGTAATACTAAAGCAAGCTGATGGGTATATAAGTATTTATTATACTATTAGCTATTCTTTCATGTTTTGCATTTTCCATAACAAGCTAAAAATGACTTAAAAAACAGGTACATAGAAATGGATCAGCAAAAATGGACAAAGAGGAGAAATAAGAGAACTAATTCTGGGCTGTTGAATCCATGTAACAGGAATATTGCTCTTCCTACCATCAAGGGTAAATCAGTGCCTTTTAAAGAAACTGTTGTGCTTCATAAAGCTGAAAAAGAGTCACGGGCACTAACAGGTATAAAAAACTATTATGTGCTCAAGCAACAAATGGACCTTCAGCCGTGAACCCACAGAGCCATGTCTGAGTACTAGACCATTTCCCATGGGTCCTTAACCTTACACTGAAAATTACAGTGACAGCTATATATCTGAAGTGGCAAATCAGAAAACAGACTGCGCCCTGGCTGGTTTGGCTCAGCGGTTAGAGCATCAGCCTGAGGACCAGAGAGTCCCGGGTTCGGTTCCTGCTAAAGGCACGTACCTCAGTTGCAGATTGTCCCCGGCCCCAGTTGGGGTCGTGTGGGTGGCAGCCTGTCGATGTGTATCTCTCACATCAATGTTTCTCTCTCTTCCCCCTCTCTCCTTCCCATTCTATCTGAAGATAACTGCAAAAATATCCTCGGGTGAGGATTTAAAAAAAAGAGAGACTGCTCTCCTAGAATGTGGATCTGAGATGAAACAGAAAAATCAGTGCTCAAACTATAAAATATGACTTAACAAATCAACTAATTACTTCCTGCTTCTGACAAGTTACTTGAAAGTAAATGAAACTATTATGATCAAAGACATACGCACAAAACCTTAGTAAGTCAAACATTCAGAGTAGAAAACAGTAATTTAGGGGTAATTAGACATGCTTTTCATATCTTCTTTCTAATAATAATAATAATAATAATAATAAAGTTCATGCCTTTGGGAAAAAAAGGAAATGAAAAATAAATGTGTAGCTATAAGAATGTCAAAATACGAGAAATGACAATGAGCTTCAAGCAAGGAATAAAATAAACTTCACCAGGACCCAAAATAAATAACCAGATTAAGAAAAATTTAAATTTAAATGAGAAAGGAGAAAATTTCTCAGCTAATGATAGAAAGTTAGATAGCACAGAGAAAAATTAGATCATTAAAAAATAATTAGGGCAATGGTGAAAAACTATACAGTAAATTCTCATGAGGAAAAAGCCACAAGTTAGGGAGCCCTGCAGCCAGCCTCACGTATCTATATACCAATGGAAAAAAATAGGTATAAACACACCAGTAGTTATTTTTTAGTTTGTGTGTTTTTTATTTTTTTTAATCCTCACCCGAGAATATTTTTCTATTTATCTTCAGGTAGAGAGAGAGGGAGAGACAGAGAGAAACACTGATGTGAGAGAGACATATCGACTGGTTGCCTCCTGCACGACCCTGACCAAGGCCAGGGACGAACCGCAACCAAGGTATGTGGCCTTGGTTGGAATCGAACCCACAACTCATTGGTCCACAGGCCAATGCTCTACCACTGAGCCAAACCGGCCGGGGTGTGTGTGTGTGTGTGTGTGTGTGTGCGCGCGCGCGTGCTTACTCAAGGAAGAAAGTAAAATTTAAGAGGTGAGCTGTGGTGGACCTCATGATCAAACATGGTTTTGAGAAATGGACTTTGCTTCAATGGATACATTAGATGAGAAATTAGCTATACACATGAACATGTGCATTTTGCTGGGGCAAAGATGCAAGTTTTCATCATGTTCTTAAAGTGGTCTGTACCCCACAAAAAGGGTAAAAACTACTTCTGATATAGAAGGTATTCCCACACTTGGGAAGTCAGAACAGATCATCGCTATGGTCTCTTCTGCCTTCCCTAAAATTTGTTAGCTTAAAAAGAAATTTTAAAACTGTATTGGAAAAGTAGGGGCCAGCTCATCAGGTCCTAAGAATAACGGTCAGGGACAGGGCAACCAGAAGTAAATCAAGTGGCTGATGAGACAGTACTCACAAAGGTATCTGCCCCCAAATCTCCACATCGACACTGAATACTTCATCATTCATTTCTCCTCTGGTTTTTGCTATTAAACCCAGAAAACTGGTTTCCAAGGAGAGAGAACAAATTTTATGCCTATTTAAACAAACTTGCTGGTTTTGGCTAAAATAAAGGGTTAGCACAAAAGGTAGAGAGAGAAGAAAATAAAAATGCAACAGGAGATGCTATTGAGGGACAGAAGGTAAATTTGGCTTCTTTTCCATTGTAGCCAGAGTCAGCACCACATGGACTTCAAGTTACCAGATGCCGAAAGAAGACAGCACCTACCCGAGGTACTGTGATAACATCTCTTAAGAACTCACCTGAGCCAAGACGCTTTCCATCTCTGATTTCTTCTCAGCAGAACACTTCTTGTCAGACATCAATTTCTGCAAATGAGCTATAAGACATATTGGTACATGTCAATTTCAATCAATGGGGAAAAGGGGACAATGCATTTTTGAGTTTCAATGCTGAACAGGTAAAAACAATGAATTTAAGAATAATGTTCTTAATTGATATGGATCTCTTGGTTCATTTTATAGGAAAAGTCATGATACTGTCTTCATTCTTTTACTGAGTTTGAATTTCTAATTATCTGTACACATCTTTTTTTTAAAAAAAAATAAGGTATTTGATCTGTATACTTAAGATCTGTGTACTTTAGCATCTGTATGTTATGCATCCCAAAAAAAGTTTAATAGAAAAAATCTGAGAAAGATTTCATCTAAACCCTTTGTTTTGCTCAATCCTACTGGAAAGGGTATTTATCTGAGAGGATGAACCATACCTTTTAATAGATGGTCGGCACGAAAACACTCTCCATTTTTTACATCTTTCACCATGAAGTCAGCAAATTTGTCTACGTGGCCAGAGGTCCTAAGGTAACAAATGCCAAGCCAACTTGTCATTTTCATACAATTTAACACACAGATTTTACCTTAGAAGACAATCCCTCTTCTATATGTTTATCCATAGTTTATATCCACACCTATCCTGTTATTATTAGTGATAACAAGAAAAGGCCAGACGATGATGAATGTCATTAGCCAAGAGCTCGTATCTCTTTACAGACAATGAAGCTTAGTTCTCTGCCAGTGAACCCTGTATGAACACTAGTATTATCTCTACACAGTTCCTATTAGTGGAGCAAGTAGCAAAAGGATAGGTTCTCCTGATCTTTCAGTCCATCATCAGAAAATCATCTTGTCTTAATTGGTTGAAATTATAAGAGAGAGCCTAAAGGATGCAAATGGCAAACTTAGCTCTTTACCAGGCAACATTAAATAAAATGATGAAACATAAAATGCTAAGAATTCCTCTTTCAGTTTACATTAAAAATATCCCGCTCTGCTTTCAACAATGTTGGTACGAATAATCTAAATTTCTGCAATAAAATTTCAATACAAATAGTATTTGATTAAAAATATATACACAGTCCAGCTGGTGTGGCTCAGTGGTTGAGCATCAACCCATGCACCAAGAGGTCGCCGGTTTGATTCCCGGTCAGGGCACATGCCCAGGTTGTGGGCCCGATCCCCACTATGGGGGCATGCAGGAGGCGGCCAATGGATGTTCTTTCTCATCGATGTTTCTATCTCTCTCCCCCTCTTACTTCCTCTCTCTCTAAAATCAATAAAGGAAAAAAATTTTTTTTTAAATGTACACACACCTTTGCCCAGAATTTATATTAAGGAAACAATCAGGGATATACACGAAAATTCATCTATCAGGATGTTCAGTGCAGTAAAAAATTAGAAACAACTTAAATGCCTACCATGTGGACTAGCTAAATAAATTATGGCACATCCATAAGACAGAGGCTATGCTGTTATTAAAAATGCTTTAGGAAACTAATGACAGAAGTAAATGTTCACCTATGTTATGTAAGAAAAGCAATGTGCTGCTAACATTGATATATACACAGGGACTTACACAGAAAAAAGACAGGAAGGATAACTATAACAATTTTAACAGGGCTATCTTTGAATAGTAGTAAATATTTTACTTATTTTCCTTTATTTTCTAGATTTATATAACAAACATAGGTAGCTTTTTATAATCAGAAAAAGTTACTTAAATATGATTAAAGAGTTTCAGTCCGCCCTGGCCAGTTTGGCTCAGCAGTTGGAGTACAAGCCCACAGACCAAAGGGTCGTAGGTTCGATTTCAATCAAGGGCACATACCTTGGTTGCAGTTTGATCCCCGGCCCTGGTTGGGGTTGTGCAGGAGGCAACTAATTGGCTTCTCTCACATTGATGTTTCCCTCTCTCTCCCTCTCTCTCACTCTGTCTGAACATCAATGGAAATGTGTCCTCGGGTGAGGATTAAAAAAAAAAGTTTCAGCCCTCAAACTGTAAATCTTACTTTAAAACTGGCTCAGGAGTAAGCATGGTGCAATCAATTTCTAGGATCTGTTCCTCTTGGATAAAGTGCTGCCTCCAGGTCTGAATAATGTTGTTCTTCAAAGCACATCCAACTGGCCCAAAGTCATACAGACCACTAACACCTGTAAAAAGTGAACAAGGGAAACAGGTACTTTACCTTGTCACGCTGCACAAATGAAGGCAAGGGGACACGATACCTGTAAGACTCCACATACTCCCTAAACATGTGTTCAAGTCAACATTCAAACCCCTCGTGCCGAAGAGACTCACCTCCACAGGCTGACAGAGGGAAATTTCAAAGCTCTCACTCCACTTACTATTTCCATTCTAAGAATTTCAAGTAGGATTAGCAAAAAAACTAAAAGCAAAAGAAGTTCCTCCATATACAAGAACAGAAAAAAAAATTAGAGTTTTCTGCCAGAGAAATTAGAAAATTTTGGCACTGATAATAGTGATAATAATTTTAGCACCCTATTTTCTAATTTCTTCTTGGGTATCTGAGTGGCTACTTAAACCTCACGAAGGCGAACACCAAGAGATCTGCTTAGCCATACTCGAATCACGTTTCGGGGGCAAAGTACCCTAAGTCTAATATTGTTTAAGTGAACTCTGTTGACTATGAAAAATATTGTTCTACATTTAATCAGTGAATTATATTCACCTCCATACCTTCATATAGCATTCAGAAAAATGTAGAGACTTATCTATATACCTATGAAAAATGAAGAATAATTTAGGGACCTTGGTTCATCACCGCAAGGGACAGGTGTTTACAGTGGTCCTCTACTGCTCCAAAGCCTCCACTGCATTTTCAGAAGTCTACCTAATATGTACAGTCGACCCTTGAACAAACAAGAAGTTAGGGGTGCCAAGCCCCATGCAGTCAAAAATCTGCATATAGCTTTGACTCCTCCAAAACTTAATTACTAATATCCTACTATTGACTGGAAACCTTACTGATAACATCAACAGTCAATGAATACATAAGTCGTATGTTATATGTGTTATATACTGTAATCTTACAATACAGTAAGCTAGAGAAAAGAAAATGTTAAGAAAATCATAAAGAAGAGAAATGCATTCACAATATTTATTGAAAACAATCCACGTGTAAGTGGACAAGCACAGTTCAAAGCCATGTTGTTCAAGGGTCAACTGTACATGGACACCTCAGATGCTTAATACCCGAGCCTCCTATAATTCCCTACACCCTAATGAAAAAATGCAGTTTTTGAGAGTCATTAGGGAAGAGGAAAATAAAAACAGATTTTACCTCAAATGGTTGACTCTAAACAAACGAAAGCAAACTATCTATTCTCTGCTTCAGGTGACCTCACACGATTTGGTATCGATTGGCAAGCCACGTTTTTTATTTAGGAACAATGTTCAAGCCACTAACACCACAATTATTCTTTCAGTTGCTAATCCCCTACCTCCATAAATAGCAAAAGCTTGATCGTAGAAAAATCTCCTCTTCAGGGTATCTTCCATTTTTGCTCTGTCTACAATGTCATCTTTGGGCTGTAATGCCAGCTCCTATAGGGGTTTTTAAGTAGAAAACATGTAATTGGAGGGATCAGTAGTAATATGAAGTTATATATGTGAATTTAGTTTATTCCTCAGCAAAATTCAGTATAAAATTTACCAGACAAGATTTGATACCCTTAAAAAAATAGAAACGCTTAGGGTTCCCCCACTTTTTGAGTTACAGAAAAGTTACCTTTACTTAATTATTTAGGAAAGTATATGATTATTTCCAAGATTACAAGACTAAGTTTGCTTAGATGCAGATACTGAAATAATATCTAAGTTTTTAGTGGATCACTGTAGCAAAATAGTGACTTAAAACTCTAAACTACCTCTCTTTGGTTATGGGAGATAAGGTTTGGGAGCACCTATCATGTGGACAGAACGTTTCCTTCAAAGAAAAAAGATGTAAACACAAAACCATTATTTCCAGGCATGGGGATGGGGGGCAGAACTCCATAAAGAAGAGGAAGCACTATGCCTTCCAGGGAAATTCATGAGGCGTGTTGAGTCTAGGATCCGGGGGCAGGGGCAGGCAGGAGTCAGGAAGGCTTCACAGGGAAGGAGACATTTTGAGTTGCATGTTGAAAGAATGAGGAGTCTGCGAGGGAGAGGAGGAGGGGAATGCATGCTGGGTAAACAGAGATAAAGCAAATAGTACTTGCTCAGAAACTGTTCTAGGTCTTCCCACCCAAAGAGGTTAAATAAAGATGCACAATCCTGTACCTTTTTACGTTCCTGTTTTAGAATCCCTTGACTCACCTGTGCTTCCAGAACCCTCTTGCGGGCTTTGAGCTCAGCGACTGCTTTGTCTACATCAACTTGGGGTGCTTTATCTTCTTTCAGTTTTCGTACAAGATCTCCCTAGCCAAGACAGAGAATTTATACTCAGGATTGGTTTCAGAAGTTGAGAGAAGTCAGGAATGTGTTTGTAAGCATGCCTTTTAAAAGTATCTGTGTACAAACAGACCATTCAATTATTTATTAGATGAGCAGTCATTAGGAATAACTGAAGGTCTCTGCCTCCAGGATTTAAATCCAGCAGAATATACAAACAAGTAAACAAATAACTATGTTCTCAGGGTTTAAGGTGATTATTACTAGTGTGACTGTTTCTTTTCTTCTGGAGGAGGAGAAGAGAAAAGCATTAATAAAATGTAGGTAAGAGCAAGATTAGTACGGAGAACACAGAAGAACCAAACAACAGATCACCCTCTCCTTGAATCTCTCATCTCCCTACTTACAAAAATGACTGTCTTTGTTTTCCACCTACTTCTCTGGCCATTTCCAGTTACTACCGGCTTATCTTCCTCTGCTCTTTCTTAATTGTCAGAATTTTTTCCTTGCTAATTTCTCTAGATAAATTTGTTTACTTCCAGCAACCTACCTGTACACTGATTACCATAATAATCAGTGAAACAGGCAATCTGAAAAAGTAAACAAACAAAACACTACACATGGTCTGGGAAACTCCAAGCTGAGAAATTAAAGTTGTCAAATGGACAGAGCCCTTGGGTGCCCGATAGAAGCAACTGCCCTCTGGAGGAATAAAACTTCCACATAGGCCTTTTAGGATATTCACAGTTTGAAGTCACCAAAATAATAAGTGCAAGCTCAAAATTTAAAAACCCAGGAAGAAACTAGCCATCACGATTGAGCTTCTGCAGAAATGGTAACAGAATTAGATGCCCCAAAGTATTAGAATGACCAAATATACTTTTTAAATGCTTAGGATGTTATTAAAAAATAAAAGGAGGAATAAAAAGCATGAGCAAAGAACAAGAAACTATCCAAAACAATCAGGGAACTTGAAAAAGAACCACAATGATCATCTGGAAATGAATCAATGAAAATTAAAAATTCACTCAACAGGTTAGACAGCAGACCAGATACAGTTGAAGAAAGAATAGTGACCTAGAAGACAGACCTAAGGAAATGATCCATGGATAATCCATGGAATGAAGTAGAGAAACAATGAGTTAAATTTATAAATTGGGGCCCTAGTCGGTGTGGCTCATTTGGTTAGGTCTCATCTCATGCACCAAAGGGTTGCCAGTTGGATTCCTGGTCAGGGCACATGCCCAAGTTGTGGGCTCAATCCCCCATAGAGGGTGTGCGGAAGGCATCCAATTGATGTTTCTCTTCCCCTCTCTGTCTGAAAACCAATAAAAATATATATATTTTTAATTTTACAAATTAGGTAATGAGGCATAGAAAAGAGAATACAAGTGTGACATCCAACCAGAATTCTGGAAGAAAAGGATAGAAAGCATTTATAAGAGATCATATTTGAAAAGATAATGGCTATAGATTTTTCTGTAATTGCTCAAAGACATGAATTCTCAGATTTAGGAAGCACAATGAAATCCAAACAATATATAAAACAAAAGTCCACACCTAGACAAGCTGCATAAAACCTGGTGCTTAAGTAGGATTATAGTTAAAGACCTGGGTTTCAGTACCTGATCAGCTAATTGTGAAACCCTGAACAAGCTAAAACCTCCATAAAATCAGATGACAATACATCCTCATTAGATTGACATAAAGAGTAAATGAAAGAACTTGAGTATTTTCAATAACACCTAAAACAAAGCAGACATACAAAAAATGATAGCTGTTATTATGCTATAAAACACAACTTAGCTGTGGCCTAATTGGTTTTCAGACATGTCTGACCCAACTTATTTAGACCTGAATTATTTTCCTCTGCTCCAAACTTGTTCCTTCTCGTGTGTATTGCTCTCCATTTGTTAATCACAACAAAATCTAGCATTTTCCAAAGGAGAAACCAATTTATCCTACTTTACCTCTGATATCTGGTCAATCTCACTTCAGAATTTCAAATCTAACTGTCCCTTCCACCCCTTATTGAGACCGCCAACACAGATGACCAGTTTGTCTCTCATCCAGAGGCGTCTGCACTATTACACCTGGTCCCAAATTACCCTAATTCATGTCATTTCTCTCCCACCTCTGTAAGCCTTCTTTTCACAAGCACACAAAATCCCAAACTTGGTGACTGATCCTACCCCAATGTCGTCTGTCATATTTACCCTCTTATCCAAAAGTGCTTCCCTTTGCTCAATGAAAATTCTACCACATCCTTTACGAAGCATTTGCCAAATGTGCCAGCCTTACAGCAGCTCTTTGGGGACATGTCTCCCCTTGGAGCTGTCTCAACTAGAGGCTGGGTTTTCTCCCATGTCCCTTTGATCCTTGGGGGCTGGAGATGACAGGTGTCCTCCTTATCCCCCTCCGTGCTTTCAAACTGATTCCTCTTTCCTCCTTCTAACCCCTGCTTCTTTGAAGGGCCTGTCATCACCCTTTCCCCTTGCTGACATTCTCCAAGCTTTGGCTTACTACCCCTCATTCAGTGACAGTCTCCAGTCAGGAGATGAGAAACTGTTTATAATTCTTTGAACCTAGACCTAACTCTGCTTATATACAATCAGAAATATTTTCCCAGTTTTAACATATACTAAATTTTCCATAAATGTACCTAGGAAAATGTAATTTAAAGGAAGACTATGCCTTCTTTTATTCAGAGTTTTACAGTTATTATTTGAAGCAAACAAACAGAACCGCATGACCAATGGCAATGCAACCATGGAATCTGAGCAACCAGTACGATATCCCTTCATCAATGGGCACACACAGCAACTGCATTCGCATAAATCTCCGTACAGCTATAAGCATCTGTTTATGTCAGCACAACTTTCAGTGGGGCCACATCCCAAATTTACATATTAAAATGAACATTACTTTATTATAAATTACTTTTTCTTTGTAATATCTTTAGAGCATATATTTTTCTCTAATTAGGTTTAGTACGAGTCTGCATGAATTTCACTGCAGGATAGTAATGGAGAATTCCAAAACATCTGGTGGGAAAGGAGACACTGTGTCTGAAAGTTCCGAGCCACTGAATTAGTTCTATCCTGACCTCTAGCTAAAGCAACATCCTCAGCCACCTTCTAATGTTATTTCGACTTCTTCATCACACTTGAAACATCTGCAATCACCCTACCAATGCGCTGGCTTACCTACTCGTATGCGCTTTATCTGTCCCTATCTTCAGATAGGAATTGTAGCACATCAATTCTGACACTCAAACATTTGTTGACTGATATCACAACCTAAACCTAGCACAGTGCCAAGCATTTAACATTCAGTAAATATCTATTAATTTACTCTGGACTCATTCAGTGTTTCTTTTCCTTTGTCAGAACATCTATCTCATACATGTGCACTAACAGTGCTTTGTGATGGGGATAGGGGCCGTGAGAGGCTCTGTGCTGAAGGAGGTTGGCAAGTGGTGATTCCTACTGAATGTGTTAGGGAAGCACGCAAGCAGCTCTTCTGAGTATCTCCCCGTGTCAAGAACCGCCGCTCCCACATATTTCACCTACTTTTTCTTTTGGAATTTCACAGTTGAGGTAAAGGCAGGAAGTACTGAAAATTAATTTCCCTGAGTCCGTTTTAAAATCATAACTTATAATGATCCAATCCTGAAAACAAAAGAACTAGAGGTGATCTAAACATGGATGAAAGTACTTATGGATTCCTATCTTCTAATTCTTTTTCTTCTCTCTTCTTCACCACCCAACTATTGTGTGTGTGTGTGTACTGAAACTGATGTGTAACGTCATCGACGTCTCTATATTACCCTTAAGAAACATCGACTTGAAGCTTAATTGATGGGTAAATTCTTACCTAAATAACATTTTTCTGAAACATATATCTGAAATAACAGCCTGCGACTCGAAAGCAGTTGTTAGATGAAAAATCATTCCACAGGCCCTTCATGGATCCTTCATCTATAATCATGATGTACCTTCAGCTGGCCAAGAAACAAACAACAAAGACCTTACCTTTGTAAGGTGGTTGGTTTTACACATGTGGGTTCTTATTAAAAGTAATGAGTTCGTCTCATATTTCCAAGTGTTTTCCAGCTATTGACAAAAACTTCATAAACTTTTCATTTGCCCTTTGTGGCTTAAGCAAGAGCTTTAATGGGCATCTCAGTTCAGAATATCAAAGTAGAGAAAACCCAAGGGCTCTTCACTATCTTCTTACTACTATGAGATCTGAAGTTTAGCTGTGTCTTCCCAATTACAATAAAAGAAAATATGAAATACTAAAACACGAGTAATGTTATTCACACATCTATTCCTATCATTAGTGATTCAGACTGGAAATCATTTGAAGACCACTCAAGAAATCATTAGAAAGGCTTTTCTATCATCCTATCCTACCAAATTCAGAGGACATCAGCCCTCTTGTAAAGGTTCAAAAAGTTATCAAACCAACAATCACAGGAATACGTGAGCTCCATGGCAGCAATGGTTTTATAAAGTCAACATTCCAATAAGCCGCAATCATTTCAGAATAATACCTATCATTTTACCAAGAAACCTATTAAGTACTGTGGGCAGCATTCTTGGCACGTACATAAACTATTTCTTTCTTTTTTTTTAATCTTCACCCAAGGACATTTTTGCATTTATCTTTAGATAAAGCGAGAGGGAAAGAGGGAGGAAGAGAGAGAAACATCGATGTGAGAGAGACACATCGAGTGGCTGCCACCCACACAACCCCAACCAGGGCCAAGGACAAACTGCAACCGAGGTACGTGCCCTTAGCGGAAACCGAACCCGGGACTCTCCGGTCCGTGGGCTGACACTCTAACCGCTGAGCCAAACCAGCCAGGGCTGAACTACTTCATTTTAACTTTTACAACTCCAGTCCCATATTACAGAAAAAGAAGTTTTGCTACAGAGAGGTTAAAAAACCTGCTGAGCATCCCCAGCAAACAGTGTAGTAGATCCAAGCTCTGGAAAATCAACTTCAGAGCCTACACTTTTCATTACTAGGTCCATCAACACAAAATGGGCAGGGATATAAAGAAAGCTCTTCTGGCAACTCTTCAAAAACTTCTCCTATCTTGACAATTAAGTTTCACTACAGATCAAAACAAAAAAACAAACAAAAAAACACCCTTCTTGGTTATTTTTCTCCATACCAGTTACCTTGTGAGGGAATCAAGCTATATCCACCTAAGTCATTTCAGAGTGGCCTCTTAAATCCAGACAATGACACGAAAACACCTCCCCAAACCTCTCCACCAGTCCCCACTAAACCTCCAGCTCAAGTAAAATTCATCCACAGGCCCTGTTTGCACAGACAGACCCTGAGACATGTATTTCTTTAGCAAAGGAATCTCACTTAATGTTTAGATAAAGACCAGACAGGGGAGTGATTCTGACAGGAGAGTGTAATTAACACAGTTAATTGCTGAGAAAAATAAAATGATGATCACGGAAAAGTACCCTGAGAGTAGTAGGCAGGGCAACGGTGGAGGCCAGGCGCAGGGTGCAGTGGACAGAAGAATGAATGGAAAATGAGGAAGTGGAGAGAATGAGAGGATGGGGAAACCTGCGGGCTGTAAAAGAAAAACAGGCTGAGGGCCTGGGAGCTTCAGGAGCCTGTATTCCAGGTAACAGCCCAAACTGGTCTTCACATAAATCAGACACTTCCATTCCTCTAAAGCAACAATTCTACAACTTCTGGTCTCAGATCCCTTTGTACTGTTAAAAATCCCTGAGGACCCTAAAATTCTTGTTTCTATGGGCTATTTCTATCAATGTTTACTGTACTGAAAATTAAAATGCAAATGTTAAATATTTATTAATTTGTTTAAAATAACGGTAATGAATTTCCCAAAATTCTAAAATTTCCCAAAAGCTTGATTTTCTTATTGGCCACAAATACTATCAGTTGTTTTCTTGACAAGCTCACGACAGTCAGTTTCCAGAAAATAAATGCCCAATATCCAAGACCGAGTAACAAGACTTTGTCAGACATTTTACAAACGGTGTTCAAAGAGGCAGACGGTTCAGCTTGTACAAACAATCATACACCTGGTTTAACTGGGACAGTCATCATATTTCAATATGCTTTTTGCATACTTCACATTTTGTCACACAGAAAATGAAAACAATGCATGAAATAGTAAAATTAGTAATTTTTACTTCTCCATCAAGGACACTCTAAAAAGCGAAAGTGACTTTTTTTTTAACTATTAGAGTGTGATGGAGAAGACAATGACTTGGTTTGGTGTGCTAAGGGTGGACAATTTTACCCACCACCTTCTGCACTATCAGCGCAAATGTCAACACAGTGAAAAAGGACAATAATATCTTCGTTATATTATAAATGGCTTTGACCTTGGGGACTTCCAAGGATTTCCAGACCACACTTTTAAAACTACCACCCTACAGCAGTAGTTCTCAAACAAGACACTCCAGGACAGATTTTCATCAATACATGGTAAAAAATAAAAATAAAAAAGACAATGTATTAGACCTTTTTTCAAAGTTAAACCTACTAAATACAAAAGACTGTTCTTTATTCTGAGTTATGGTTTGCCTTTATTGTATTAAAATATCCTTTTCTTTTATTACATGAAACAGAATTCAGATGGCAGTTTGATGATTGTATTAGTTTTTTTAATGTCTTTATTTGGCAAAATAAAGGCTGGCCACACTATGGTAATTCCTAATTTTTTAAAAAAATTCAATTGTCCTAGGGTGCCCTTCATTCAAAAATTAACATATTTTTCTTGACATTCTGAGGCCCTCCTAGAAGTTCCATAACTAATTCTCCAGTAAGCAACTAAGAATATGCCTCAGGAAAATACATTTTGGTCAAACAAACCAAACCTTTAAAAAGCAACAGCACTGCCCAGCCGGTGTGGCTCAGTGGTTGAGCACTGACCCATGTACCAAGAGGTCACCAGTTCAATTCCCGGTCAGGGCACTGCCCAGGTTGTGGGCCCAATCCCCAGTGGGGGGCATGCAGGAGGCGGCCAGTCGATGTTCTCTCTGATCGATGATTCTAGCTCTCTCTCCCTCTCCTTTCCTCTCTCTCTAAAATCAATAAAATTATTTTTTTTTTTTAAAAATTTAAAAAAAAGCAACAGCATCCACGTAGCCTAGCAGATTAGCAAGTTTATATGAAACATGTTATTACAGGAAACACATCCTACTAACAAGACCAGTTGTTAAGCACCTTCAAATCCCACTCCGAGGATGTCTTCAATTGCACAAACTTCACAATGGAAATATGTAAAATGTATAGATGTGACAGTGTGCCTCATTTTGTCATAAGCAAAAAAAAAAAAAAGGAGGGGTGGTGCCTAGATGATCTTTAAATCCCCTTCCAGCTCACCCTGGAATCAGTGTGATCCAAAGTCCTAGGTAGTTAACTCATATGCGTGGTCCTGGAAAATTAGAAAAAAGAATCTAAACTAACTTACATATTCAGAAAGTATCTGTAAAATTTTAACGGAGCCAACATAAACAACAGGCAGGACAGTAACCCCACGGGAACCCATCAAAGTGCACTTCACTGCTTCCAGCCTCACTGCTGACAGACAGTGTGCACTGCAGTTCCAGGCTAACGTGGCAGAGGGAGGGGTTTGGGGCCTTTTTTTTTTTTTTTCTTTTTAATTAGATGTATTCTCCTTTCTAAAGTGAAGGATATGAAAAAGAAATTGAGAGTTACAGAAAAGACAAAGGCACCACACCAAATTTAATTTGAGGAGAGTGGATGTAGGGAGATGAAGAATAAGCATACCCAGCGTTCTGATGCCAATAAAGAAGAAAACTGCAAAATAAAACACTATTGAACCTGCCTGGGCCACACCAGCAAGAAGTAGACACTGCGAAGTAGCAGGATTTGTTGGATTGGTGGCAGATCTGCCCCCAGTGAATTATTTCCTAGAGAGGATCCCACCCTCCCCAGCTAAGACAAGTTATTGCATCAGCAGGCGCCCGCCCGTGCAGGAGAAACCAGTTTGGTGTTTACTACTAGGTCATCGATCCCAAGCTTCTGGCATCTACCTGGCTGGATGTGAGAATCCATTTGAAATCACCTTTTCCTTGTCTGCTCTAAATTCTGAAATCCATGCCCTGCCCTAGGAAAAGGAGGCCTGTACAAATCACCAAGCCCTCTAGCGCACGAAACCTCCCTCCCTTCGGCAAAAGCCAATTTCAAAAGGTTCCATTCGGAAGGCTGAGTAACTCAGCAACATTCGCGGTTCTCCAGGCTCACGGTCCGAAGGCGCTCGCTCCTTCCACACGGCCCTCTCGGAACCGAGACCAGACGACAGGGGCGAAGGACGAAGAGCCCACGTAGCTATGAGAGGTGGTGGGGGCGGCGGGGGGCGTTTGCACACCCACGTTCCAACTATTGTATTTCCCAGCCTGTCATTTGCGAAGCAATGAATGCAGGAAGGTGTCCAGGAGGAAACGATTCAAAGCATCCCGAGGATTAAAAGCGAGTCCGGCCGAACCGGCAGCTCGTGGCTGACCCAGGGAGAACCAGGGACCTCGCCGCCGCCGCCGGCGCACAAAGAACGCGGCAGAGATTGGAAAACTGAAGTTGAGGGTGCTGAGCTAGGACAGGAGGGGGACCCACGGGTCCCAGCCCCGGCGGGGAGAGGAGGCGCGGGCCATCCCCAGGGCTGGGAAGGGAGAACGGCCACGAGCGGCGGGACGCGGGATGTCCACGGGGACCCGCGGGAGTCACTCGAGAGGAGGCGAGGACAGAGGTCCGCGGGAGGGAAGGTGGCCGACGCACGCGGGGACCTGGGTCCAAAGTGGGGGAGGCGAGGAAGGCGCCAGGAAACCTGGGCTCGCAGAGGATGAAGGAGAGGGGACGCCGGCGAGGTGACGGCGCCCGGGGAGGCGAGGGGAGAACCTGGAGGGGAGGAGGAGAGAAAGCCGGTACCTGCTGGCGCACGGCTACCCTGAGAGGTGCCAGCACCTCCTCAGCCCCGGCGCCGTCCATGCTGCTCCGGGAGGCGGCCGCGGGGAAGGCGGGCGGGGCGGGGGCGCGCGTGCCGAGCGGCCGGCGCGGCGGGAGCGGAGGCCGGGCCGGCGGCCGGGGCGGCAGCGGCGGCGACGGCGACAGCAGCAGCGCGGCGCGGGCGGCTCTCAGCAGCGCCGGGCGCGGGGAGTGCATGGGGCGGCGGCGGAAGCGGCGCGCGCGGCCCGGCCCGGAGCATGATGAAATCGCCGCGTAAACGCCGCGGCGCGCGCGCGGACGCACATTCCACACGCCGGGCCGCGGCGCCGCCGCCGGCCGCAGATTCGACACAGGAACGCGGAAGGACCCGGGGCCCTGCGGCCGCGGGACACTGAGTCCGCCGGGGCGCCCGGGAGAGCTGCGGGGACCCAGGGAGCTGCCCTGCGAACATTTGCACGACGATGCGCCCGGTCCTTCCGACGCCCGCGGACCGAAACTCACGCCGACCTTCAAAGCACGGGCTGGACACGGGCCTGGACACGGGCTGACCCCCGAGGAACCGCACATCTGCGTCTGTTCTTTCGCCCCCGGGCCTGAAAGGGTCGTGAAACATCAGGTCACATAGGGACTTAGGTTCAGTGTTGCTCTAGGTCAGACGCTCCTCAGATGGGAAAACAGGTCAAAAGGGGTCAATGTGATAACCCGACTGCACACGTCCAGGCCCCGCCAATGGGGGAAGGAGAGGAAGAAGGACGGGCTTTTAGAGCTCAGTGCTACTCAAGGCCAGCCGGATCCGAACCAGCCTAGATGAGGAGAGGCAGGAGGCAAAGAGGAAAAGAGGCTGGGAACATGATAGTGTAAGGGAGCCTGGCGTTCCCTCGCATGGCCTTGCACCAGCCGACCCGCTTCCTGTGGTTGGGCCTCTGCTGACCACCATCCAGAGAGGTCTCCCCCCCTCCGTCCTGTGCCAGGGTGGGCTAGCTGGAAAAGCTGAATTTCCTTTGCATAGGGGAATAGAAAGGTAAAGAATACGCCGGTTATAGAAACAGCATTGCGCACACGGCAGAGAATCCCTAAAATGAAAATACTGGTGAATGCCAAGTGATGCACTGGGACTCTCCCACCTGCTAAGAGGAGTGTCAACTGATGCGGCCACAGTGGAAGAACCATTTGACAGTGTCTGCCGAAGCCAACCATATACTCCTTCCCCGTGACCAACCCCAGGAGTGTACGCGAGAAGACTGGCCACCAGAATGAAGTCACCTTTCCCAGTAGTATGAAAGTCCCTGTGACTTTTCTGCCTGTTTCAATTTGTAAAACCATATAACGTGACAAGTGCGCACAACTGAGCATAAACTGGGAGGGTTGCTGAAGAGCCTTCTGCAATATTGAACAATTCATCTTTTTAAAACTTTTATTTCAAGATTTAATATTTATTCTTTGTAAGTTTTCTTTGGCTTTATTTTAACGGGTAATTTTGAATTTATCTTAGTATTTTTTTAAATCCCCCATATTTTATTTTATTATTATTTTTTTATCTTCACCCGAGGACATTTTTGCATTTATCTTCAGGGAGCGTGAGAGGAAGAAAGAGAGAGAAACATCGATGTAAGAAAGACACATCAAGTGGCTGCCACCCACACGACCCCAACTGGGTCCAGGGACAAACTGCAACCGAGGTACGTGCCTTTAGCGGGAACCAAACCCCGGATTCTCTGGTCCATGGGGCCGATGCTGTAACCGCTGAGCCAAACCGGACAGGGCTATCTTAGTATTTTTAAGTATGAAAAACAATTTTAATTTTTACATCAGCTCTTTACATTTTTATTAAAACATTCAAAATTATATTTTGCATACAATTATATATGTATTTTTAATTCTTTAGATAGATAACGTCTCATCCACATTCCTGTGAGGACAGTCCTATTGGTGGTCTCCAAGTCCATCCTTTCCCGGTCCTGTCATGCCCCCACTGCTGCCTCAGCGATTGTGTCTAAAAGGCAGCGCTGTTGGCGTTGTTCCTTTGCTCAGGGCGCTTCAATAGGTCCACGTGGCCCCTAGCAGAATTTCCTAAGGGGCTTTCCTTAGAAAAATACATCTGCAGATAATAATACTACTACCTTATAATTGTTGAGGGCTTATTACGTACCAGTTAGCATTGCAAACTCGCATGTAATGTATCCACCAACGCAAGGAGATAGGCTCCATAATAATCCCCATTTTACAGATTCGGGATTCAAGGCACTATGATATTAAACAACGTGTCCACAGTCACACAACTGCTAAGCGACGGGAGAGCCAGAGTGTGAGGTTGGGCAGAGGCCGTTGTACCAATAGCTAATAAAAGTTCTGGAAGCTTTGAGTGAGCTTCAGGACACCTGACCTGCATGGGGTCTTTCAAGGCCCTCCCACAGGGGCCCTAATACTGAATGCACATGGTGAATATTTTTTCTTTCTTTATTAAAGTTCTTTTCTTTATTTGAGGGAACACATTTTGTGGATACACTGAAATGCACAAATCCGAAGTGTACAGCTCAGTGGGTTAAGGAATCCTCTCTGATAACCCCACACCCCAATCAAGATGAAGAACACATCCCTCACCTCCAAGAGTCCCCTCCTGTCTCTTCCCGTAGAGACAGACGGGAGTCGGCCATGTGCCGATGGTGTGATACCAGTGTGAGCCTGGGAACAGCAAGGGTTGATGGCTACTCCCAAAGCAAGGAAGACACAAGGAAGTGTTCTACGCGGAGTCTCAGGGGGAGTCTGGCCCTGCTGACACCTTCATTGTGGACTTCCAGCCTCCAGACCCGTGAGAGGATCCATTTCTGTTGTTTTAAGCCACCAGTTGGCCCTACTTTATGACAGGTTAGGAAACTAACATAGAGACCATGGTTATTTTTTCATCCTTTCAATCTTTATTCTTTCTGATTATAAAGTACACTTGCTCTTTGGAAATTTCAAATATCACAGCAATATATGACTTGAAAATTGAGAGCCAGAGAGGACAAGAAGGAGGGAAAGGGAAAAGGGAACCTTATATTTTTTCCTATATAAATGTATCTGTGTTGTTTGCATTGTTTTATAGAATAAACCTCTGCATTTTGAGAGTATTTTTAAATGGGGTACAATGGAAAGTCCTCCGAAATTGAATTCCTCAGTGATGAGCATGATTATTAGTTGGGTCCACAACTTGTATTATTTCTAACCAAATACAAATCCATTTCACATACATCCACATAATATTCCTATAGAAGTTAGGGAGGCCTTTCTCTCTCCTACACCCTTTCCACAGGAGAGGGAAGAGGCGAGGCGGAACCTCTGGGGCTCTATTTCCCTTTGTTGTTCCTTCTCCTTTCCGGAAGTTTCCTGCAGTTTAACCCACTCCTTAACTCCCTTGAGTTCCAGCCAGTGAAATGTGATTGAACTTGCCGCACACCGCTTCCCAGTCTGCCTGTGTGCCCTCCTCCATGCTGGCCCCTTTTCTGCTGGCTGGAAATTCATGTCCATGAATTAAAGATGGCAGAGTCTGGTTCCTGAGTGACTGTGGAATAGAACCCATTAGGCTGCCCTACCTCTTTCTGATAAGTTCCTTGAACTGGTGACATGAACAAAGTAATTTTTCATTGCATTTGAATTATAATGCATTCTGGTCTCTTTGTTAGTGTAGTGAGCTTGCCCTAACCTCTCTATGACCACTGGGCCATGTATGACCAAGTTGGTAAGCTGGGTCCCAGGAGAAGGAGAGGGTAAAAAGAGCATTTGATTGCAAAGGTTCCATTTGTACAAACCTTTGTAGGACTGTGCAGTTGGGCAGAGCTGGGATCGCTTCCCCTGGCTGATGGTGCACGGCTCTCGGTCAGCATCTCTCCACCTTGCGATGCATTGACTCAGTCCTACCTCTGCAGCAGGTTTTGTTCTGATTGCACAGTGTTTGTTGTTGCTGTGGTTGGTTTTAATTTTAAATCTGAGTTCCTCTAGCAGGACCACTCCTACCAATGCCTCACCCGACTCTTGTTGGCATTGGAGCTGTGGTCCCTGCTCCCTCTTTCCTGGGGTCTAGGAGGAGGAACCCTTCAGCCTCCTCCCAAACTCCTTCAGGTTGGGCTCTTCATTCCCTTCCCAGGCTTCCTATCCACACAGGGAACTCTGACCCAGAGAAGGTTCTTTAGGTTGCACAAAAACCTGCCCCCACTACAGCTCTGACCCCCAGCCCTTGCTCTGTACTCCAGGGCTACACAGAACACTCTGCTCCCTCTGCCTCTGCACATTTGCACTGGAGTTTTGTCCCCTTAAAAACTGTCCAGTCACATGTCCCTCAGCAGTTCCTCATTGGTATGGTTTCCTGATGGTCACCTTACCCGGACAAGCTCCAGTTGTCAAACTTCCCCTCATATTAGGAGCCAAGACTGGACATGCATGATATACCTGGTGTGTGTTCTAACCAGAGTCAAGAGGGCAAAAGTATCACCTCCCCGGTTCTGAATTTAATACCTTTGATGATGTAGCCTAAGACCATCTGAGACTGTGACTATCGAGACTCCAGGAGAGGATGACAGATGATGGGTTCTTTGGCCACCAGAAAAACTTGCATGGGTTCAGGGGTGTGATATGAGGATGATAAACTGCCTGCTAGAGGAATGGTATCCATCTGGGAGCTCAAACCAGAATTCTTATTTCTGAACTTGACTTCTTTCTTTCCTTTATCCAATCCAGTTCTTGATTATTTTATTTATATCCAGTACTCTCTAAACTCTGTTTCTCCTTTCCCCACTGCCCCCATCACCCCTTACCTGGGTCCCTGCAACAAGCTTCCTTGTCTTCAGATGGCTCCCTGCAATCCTTCCTTCTGGCTACACTTACAGTGAGCTTTCCAACTTTGAAATGTGATCATGTGACTTACACAGGCGCACGCGCGCACACACACTCAGGTAAAACCTCCCCCAACTCCCCATATCCTTGGGGATAAAATCCAGTCTCCCCACAGCCTACCTCTCAGCCTCGCTCCAGCCAGCCCCCCCACACCCTGTAATCCAGCCTTTCTAGTTTACAGGGGGTGTGGCCTCTGCCTTTGGCCTCTGCACATACTCATACCTCCACCTGGAACATCTCTTTCATCTCCACCTGCCCATCACATGCTTCATCTCTCAGTCCCTTCCACCTTGCTTATACAAACAGGACCCGCTTCAGGCCAGCTCAAATGACCAGACATCTACTGGAGGGA